CTTTTCCTCTTGTAATAACAAAACGTATACGTTATTTCTATACACGGGTTTCCCTACGAAAAGCAATCGTGTCAATTTGCGCGATGGGACATTAATATCGTCTCGTTTCATCAATTTCTTCCTTCAACGGCGAATCAATCGTTCGATTTTTCTTCCCGCTTCACTAAAAAGGCTGTCTCGCTATTAGCGGATTTAACTTATTATACGTATACATATGTAGCTCAGGAAAAATTATATGCAAATATGTATATATATCGGGCAGTAATTGATTTATTGTAAAATACGAGAGAGAGAGACACGCGCGTGAAAAAACGTCCTTTTGCGCGCGCGAGTTAATTGTTAGTTTTAATTTTCACGATAATTGTATCTTATTGCTAAATGTCATTATTGCGTATTATTAAGATTTGACGAAGCCGCGGAAATTGTCGAATGAAAAACAGGACAATGACAATAATAATTCGTATATCGTATCAGGTACTTGGTGTGTATAAAGTTGGATATTAATTACAAAGAATAAACACATGCATTGTATATAAAAGCAACGATTGTGCGTAACAAATAATATCAAGGTTGTAACAACAAGGTAGCCGTAACACGGTATATTGCTACATACATATATAATTATATTATTCTAAGAGAGTGGAGTGAGAGAACGCGATATTATGTTACTCGTATTTGCAAATCAAAACGTGGACTTTGCAGGGGAATTTGCAGTTGATATCTGTGTCTGTGTGTGTTTGTATGTCTGTGTGTTAATCCAAGGTTTCTGAGATCTCTTAATACCCTTATAGAGAGAATATTTTTTTACAGTCTCATTAATTCTAGATCGATTTCTCTCGTTGAATCAAAGATAGACGGCTATGAAATTTGATTTAAGTTGGTGTTGAAGATGCGATCCCGACGTTCCTTGAAATTTTGAGGGAAAGAACGCGGCTGTTCCATGTCGAACAGAAAAACGCGAACACGCGTAATATGATTTATTTTGTCGAAGAACCGACAAGATTGTCTACGAGAATGAAACATGAAACGTCGACTGTATACAATTGTATATATATTATAATTATACAGGATGAATCTAAAGAAGTGCGACAAATTTTCAGGGATAATTCTATGTCGAAAAATAAGAAGGGTCTTTCAGATCAACATTTTGTACTCCAATATTCCTCTTTGAGGAATTACGTTCTTCCCGAGAAAGAGGGTGAAAATTAAGTTTCTATTTTGTTCTCTCAAATCTTGTTTTTGCTCCATTTTTCCAATATTTACTTGAATTTTGTTTTGTTTGTTTCTTTATTTTAAAATTCAACTTCTTGTAACTTAAAACTTTTAGCTCCAAGATAATTTTAATTTTTTCTTGCAAATTATTGATTTTACAAAAGAAACGCAAGAGATGAAAAAGTTTTGAAAGAAATCGAGTTTTCTAATGCACACTTTTGGATAATTACATTCTGACCCGTTCAAAAGTTCTAGCAAAAAATTCAACAGGGATTGCTAGTTTCATCCCTCTAACGATATACGAAAATTGAAAAATATTAATAAGTATCTTTCTTGAGTAGAAAATGTCTACTAAAATTCACTGTTTATCCAAAATTTAAGAAAAAAAACAACCTAATTTTTTCCTTCTCAGAGGGGGATATAGAAGTAGTTGATTTTACGGAAGAGACTCCTCTAATTTTCGACAAGAATTATTTCCTCCAATTTTTCGCGCTTATTTAGAATGATCCTGTAAAACATATATGGGTAATTCCACGTCAAATCGGACAAAAATCGACCTTTTTTGATTTCGTATTTTTAAAACAAACAAAACTTTTTTTACATGAAATATACATTAAATAAGGAGATACGTATTTTAAAATAAAAATATACACACTTTCAGAATAAAATGGAGAATAAAATAGTATTTTTTTGAAAATTTTAAAAAGTGTATTTTTTGTTGAAAAAAATTATTAAATACTTTAATTAATTAAAACAATTAAAATTAATAATTCTTTGGAACTTAAACTAATTTGATAATAAAGATTGTCTTCTTAGCTTTAAAATGCTATTTTGAAAATATCTCTACGACAAATATAATCACAGATATTAATTTTTAAAGTTGACAATTTCTTCATTTTTCACGAAAATTGTATTATTTATAACTTCTGCAAAAAAAAAAATATTTCGGACAAATGCAAAAACACGTATCTCCTTATTTTATGTATATTTTACGTAAAAAAAGTTTTGTTTGTTTTAAAAAATACGAAGTCGATTTTTGTCCGATTTGATGTGGAATTCCCTATAAATAATATATATTACATGTTCCCGCGAGATCCGTACACTTGTAATCGCATATTGTAATCGCCTATGTGATATGCTTTTGTCATCCCTCTCTCACCTCCATCCCTTCCTCCTTTCTCGCCCCTATCTCAGGCACAACAGACATACATGCACACTTATACACGACGTAGAAAGAAGCACTCTCTTTTCTCTCTCTCTCAGACATACGCGAGCCTGTATGACTCTGTGTTGTTCCTTCTTCCTTTCCCATTGATATACACACGTGATATCTTGAATTAGTAGGATTATTAGGAGTTATTAGGGCACAGAGGAGCTCGTGGATTGGTCCCGGCGATATTCACGGTGCGCAAAGTGATACAGATCCGCGATCCTCATCGCCGCGCCTAATGTAAAAGAGCGGCCGACCTAAATAAGGGAAGTCGGGTATCAAGGGAGAGATCCCGCCTGGATAAAGGCCCTTCACATTTTCACCGCTCATTTAACGCCATATCAATGTCAAACGTGACTTTCGCGATTCTCTACCCTCTCTCTCTGAATTTCGTCTCTCCAATTTAACCCTCCTGTCACATCATTTCTATCGATGTTGTACTAACCACGTGTTTCTGACACATCGCGACAACTTTCTTATAGCAGTTGAACATTCTTTCCCCTGGGATTTTAACAAGTTTCCAGAACACAAAGACAGCCTTTGTACTTTGCTTCCCCGAAAAATTTCGATACATTGAAAGTTGTCTCTCGGGATATTAAAAAAAAAAAAAAAAAAAAACTGACAGAAGAATTTATAAAGTTGTGACACAATATCGAGATATATATATACGACAGATGGGGGAGAATCTCGAACGAATCGCCGCATTTATCGTCAGATAGGCGGTGAAAATAGGAATCTCTCGGTAGGATCAGAGGCGAAATGCGCGATGCTGAATGTGCGATGTGAGAATAACCAGTCCCTAACCAGTACGCGCATACATATATATATATATATATATATATGTATATATGTATAATATACGAGGAAGGGAGGGAGCGAAAATCTACGACGTGTAGATATATCTATCGATAACCTTGCTATATAAAACACGTGCTGCAATGCGGGGATGCAATCTCCACTGTCGTTCATTCCGTTCTATCCGTTTACACGAGTTTCGTGGAAAAAAAAAGGGAGGAAAAAAACACGAGGAGCTAACGATGGAAATAATACAGTTGCGCGAATAGATATGGATATAAACGCGATGCCTGGCGGAAGATAGTAGAACGCGGAGCTTTCTTCCGTGATGAGTAATCGATTTTTTTTTTTTTTTTTCAATCGAGAAACGTATATATAGGGTATAGACCGTAGCGATGATATCGACAATGGAAAACGTATATAGCGTATCGACGTTAATGAAGTTTACGTCCCCGGGTGGTTTTTTTTTCCCTTCGCTGTTTTGTGTGAGTGTGTGTGTTTAATCTCGAGGTGATCATCATCATTATCATCAACATCGTCGTTTATGTATCTTAAATTTAGAAGCCACACACGCGGGTGTTTTTTACGCGTATGAATCACAAACACGATCTGGTCTGGTGGACGGTTTAAGACATTCGGCTGCGCCCTTTTTGCAGATTTCCGGTTTCCGTAATTAATCCAAATAATGGCTAATTACTCGAAGAAAATCAAAGGAAAACGTATACACTGAAACAAAATTTATTCACTTCATCTTCCACTAACAATAAATTACCATTTTGTTAATTGTGAACATATATCGGTATTTAATTTAATTTCAAATATGTTTTGTTATTTAATATATTGTATATATTATATTTAATTTAATATATTTAATATATTATATTTTTAATATATTTAATTTAAATATTTTTATACGTTTAATTAACAAAATGATATATATTAGTTGAAAGGTTTAGTCAAGTTGACAATTTTTTTTCAGTGCATGGGAACAAAAAATTGAAGATTTTCTTGAGTCTCTATATAAAAGTGAAATACCCGATATTACTTGGCGCGACTCGGCTAAGGAAGGATTACAATTACGATTATTTTCGAAGAGAAAAAAATAAATTATAAAAATATTCCCGTCTCTTCTATATAGAGAGTACAGGAAATAAAAATAATTGCAACGCGCGATGTGTTTTATGTACCTACCAGAAAAAGAAAAAATCTAGTACAAATTTTCTCGAAAAGATAGAAAAACTCATTTTCGACGATATATATATATATATATATATATATATATATATATATATATATATATATAAATGCCGATACACATGGATACACAATGAAATTGCTTGTATTATTTCCTTTCACGAAGATTAAAAAATACAAATCATGAAGCAAAGGAAGGAGGAAAGTTGTCTACTTTCTACACGAGAATTTTTCTTCACTCTTTCTCTCCCGCTCTTTCTTTCTTCTCTTTCTCTCTCTCTCACACATACACAATTCGCCTATTTAGATCGATTGATGAATCATGATTGAATAACCATCGAGAGTCTCTTGCTTTTACCTTCTTCGTTCTTCCGTTCCGGCGGAACATATATTTAATATTTTGGCATCTAGAATTAACGAGAAGAAGAGGGCAAGAGGGAGCATTTGTTAATTTTTTGCTAAAATCAGCAGAAAATTAAGCATTCGCTCTCTCTTTGAATAAACACTGGAATTTTTTGTACATTTAATAGAAAAAAATTAAAATAATTAAAAAAAATGTAAAATGTCAAAAATAAAAAAATGATAAAATAAGAAAAAAGTTTTAATTATGCCTCCTCCTGGAAAAAATCCTGCGAACGTTCCTGCACAATAGTACACAAAGTAACTCCTCTCTTCTTCTCGATTAATTCTACACGTGTGTTCCAAATAAATAATAGACAAATATACACTCTTCTTACGATTTCGGCAACAGACGCCGCGGGACCTTTTTTTATCGATTTCTTTTATTTATCCGGTCGGATCTCAGCCATCACGGCAGTTTATTTTGCCTAGCCGTTTTTTTTCTTTTTTTCTCTTTTTTTGTGATGTGGGGGGTATTATATTAATTTTCCCAACCCTCCCTAATTTTCCCTTCCTGATCTCTCTCTCTCTCTCTCTCTCACTCACTCTCTCTCTCTCTCTCTCACTTTCCAAAGCGCGTTCCTGAATAATGAATTTTTACGGATCTTACAGGACAATCTTTGATTAGGGGATGGTACACGCCGCGCCGTTCGCTCCGAATTAATTCCGACCAGTGAGTGATAGCCGACGTCTCTGTGTGAGAGCTCTATCGACCGCAAAATGGGTTTTAATCCAAACCTCCGGCTCTCTTGGTCCCGTTGGTTCGTAGGTTACAATTCCTCCGGTCTTCCTCTGCAACCCACCATACGAGGAAAAAAAGAAAAAGAGACACTAGAGACTTTTTGCTTGCTTCGGTCACGAAAAAGAGAGACTCTTTTTAATAAACGATGAAAATCGCGCGAGCACTCCGTTTCATGTTTTCTGTCAATCTTTGCCACGCGACGCATTTTTCTGGGTTTTTTTGAATAAATGACACGTCATTCTAGATTTCTTCTCTAAAAATGTTTTTCTTTTTTGGAAGATTGAAAAAATATGGAAATTATTGGCACACGTTAGAGAAGGAGAATTGATGTATAAATATTCGATTCTCGCTTTTTGTGTTTCGCAGCCGCTTGTCCTATATACGGGATGTAACAAAAATGTGGGTCGCTATTTCGGGAGCGCATATATTCTATTTATTCAAAAAAATTCATTTATCGTATGTCCGAAAATATGTAGTTTTCGTGTTACAATCACGTAAAAAAAGTTCTCATCTCAAAATAATTTATTCTCAAGCAAAATATTTTCCAAATCGTTCTCCAAAAATTGTCTGTAAGCAGCATCTGTCAAATGTCCTGGCAGGACGAAGGAGTCAATTAAAACATAATTTTTGAGACATATATATTTATATATATTTATATAATGAGCGGAAAAGTTTATATATTTCTATAAACTTTTCCGCTCATTTTGATGACTAGAACGCTCCTGAATTTAGTGTCCCACATTTGTGTTGCACCCTGAATATATTTAATAGATATATGTCAAACGTACACGTGCGCGCTTTGCTGCAACGTTTCACTTTACATCTTTGTGCACGACACGAGCATTAACACGCGAAATTTGAATTCATAAAGAATACGAGAGATTATTTTTCGATGCAGAGAACGGAAAAAGCGCGTATATAAGTCACCGTATAATCAGCATTTCGCAAAATTTATGTCAATTTGTGATTTAATCTAGTCTATGATCTATCTTTCTCTCTTTTTCACCTTTATAAATCTTCCGTAATCCTATTTATTAACGCGATAAAAGAAAAGGATTGGTATAAATTTCAATACGATCAGTCAAAAGTATCAACTTTGTGCGCACTTAAACAACTTTGTAGATAAGTCATCTAAAAAGTTCAAGTAAAATACATCGCGTGATGATGTGGTCTCTCGTGAATAAGGATAAAGCAGCACGCACCACAAACGGAAACGATAATCTACGTCGACACATATAAAGAAATCTGCGTCCCGAATTCAACAAGACATGATTCATCTTCGTGTCAGATTATTTATCTTCGTCAAATTATTAAATTAATCAGAATTTTTTACCATGCCAAAAATGGTTGAAAAATAATTGATATTCGATTTTCTGTCAGTGCCAGTGGCAACTCAGTGTCAATTACAATATATCTTGATCTTTTACATAATTTTCATTGCGTAGCGGGTAGATTAACAGGAGATAAACGAGAGTCGAGCTCGCGAGATTCATGCACATATAATATGTATATTTTTATTATATATAATAAATAAATGCAATGTAATAAATAAACATGGGCGTCCGCAGAATATTTTCCAGGTAGGATCACAATTAAAATTTCGTTTGCTTCTTATTTTTCTATTAAATATGCAAATAAATTCGAAAACTTTATCGATGAAAAAAAATGCACCCTCAGCGGACGCCCACAAGAATAAATCTATCACAGAAAAAAAGGAATCCTTGATTCAAGTATATTTTTATTCTTGAACGCTATTTAATTGATTTAAGCATAGAATGCTCTTTGTAATCACAAATTTTCATTTGCCTTAATAATAAATAAGTTTGTGTAAAGTATATTTTATCCTTAAGATATATTCTTGTTTTAAAATCGCATATGGTAAAAACAAACTCAGCACATTTGAACTAAGAATTATATATACTTGAAAGTACCGCTTATATCCGATGCACACTTTTCACTTGTCTTTGCAATATTTATAAGTAAATTTCAGCTTCAACCAAGAATATTTTGCACTTTGTTTTAAGGATAAATTATCCTTTATCCAAAATCATTTATATGGCGCTATTATAAGGATAAAATATACTTGAATCAAGGCATATTTGCATTCTCTTAAGGATACTATTTTTCTGTGTTATATACACAGAAAAAAGGAATTTTTAGTTATTTATTTGATTGATTTAAGCATAGAATGCTCTTTGTAATCACAAATTTTCATTTGCCTTAATAATAAATAAGTTTGTGTAAAGTATATTTTATCCTTAAGATATATTCTTGTTTTAAAAATCGCATATGGTAAAAACAAACTCAGTCACATTTGAACTAAGAATTATTATATATACTTGAAAGTACCGCTTATATCCGATGCTCACTTGTCACTTGTCCTTGCAATATTTATAAGTATAAATTTCAGCTTTAACCAAAAATATTTTGCACTTTGTTTTAAGGATAAATTATCCTTTATCCAAAATCATTTATATCTGGCGCTATTATAAGGATAAAATATACTTGAATCAAGGCATATTTGCATTCTCTCAAGGATACTATTTTTCTGTGATATAATAATTGAATCGAGGATGTTCGAGTTACCTGTTTTCGTGGCGAACGGATCCTTGGGATGATTCGTCTTAATGGCGTTCATTCGGCGATTCTGCGGTCCTTGTCCGCCACCGGGGCACCCGACGCCGGGTGTCTGGCCCATCCCGTGGGGCCCGGTTGGGACCGCGCCCCCGGCGGACTGCAGGTGCGACAGCTGCTGGCCGCAACCAGGGGCCCGACGGATCCGGGCCCGCTGGGCACACCGGGCGGCGCGCCTGGTGCCCTCACCGCACGTAACTGCTCGACTGGCAGTACGCGGCGTCTCTTCTTCGGTAACTTGGCTCGCGCCTGCGTGTGACTGTAATACATCGCAAAGTTGCTAACGATCACGGGCACCGGCAGGGCGATCGTGAGGACACCGGCCAGCGCGCAGAGCGCGCCGACGAACATCCCGATGTAGGTTTTCGGCACCATGTCCCCGTAACCGACGGTCGTCATCGTCACTAGGGCCCACCATAATCCGAGGGGTATGCTCTTGAAGTCGTTCTTCGGATTGTACTGGGTGCGCTCCGCGTAATAGACGAGACTGGCGAAGATGACGATGCCGAGAACGAGGAAGAACACCAGCAGGGTGAGCTCCTTGGCCGAAGCGCGAAAGGTCTGTATCAGGATCTTGAGGCCCGACGAGTGGCGGGTGAGCTTGAACAGTCTCATTATCCGTATTATGCTCAAGAACTCGAGGATGTCCGCGTTCTCCAGGTGGGCCGCGAATCGCTGCAGCGCCAGGTCGACGTAGAAGCTCAGGGTCGCGACCATGTCGATCAGATTCACCGAGCTCTTGATGAAGTCGCAACGATTCGGGCTCGCGGTGATGCGTGTCAAGAACTCGAGGGTGAACCAAGCGTTGCACACGCATTCGATGTAGAAGAAGACATCGTGGGCGTTGGTGCGGGACTTGTCCACCACCGAGGACGTGATGTTGTTTAGCTTTCCCGTACGGTTCACGATTATCGGCACCCGCATGTCCGGATGGGTCTTGAGGCAAAACGAGAGTATCGAAACGCAAATGAAGAAAACGGAGACTATGCTGATTATCTGAAACATCCGGATGTCGTCAATCTTTGCTGTCATTTCAATCAAATCTTATCTTTATATACGTAATCGAAATATGTATTTGTTGGATGAAACATCTAGAAAAGTTCATATAATTTGGTTTCAATTCAAACTTACAAATCAAAATATGAGTATATTTTTATATCCCTTTTACAATGTACATTTTTTTTATTATCTGGAAGTTATCGAGACGAATCGCTACATAATTTTGTGTTTCATCTAAGATAAATAATCAATTTTAAAATCATCTAAGCACGACACTGGACGTCATGATGATTTTAAAATTAGCTAGATAAAAATGTGTAAATCCATCTTATAGGTAAGACGAAGATGATTGACGTCGAGTGACGTCATTTTGACGTCCAGTGTTATGTTTAGATGATTTAAAAATTAGCTAGATCAAGATGAGATGAAAATATGTAAATTTAGATAAGACGAAGATGATTGACGTCAAAATGAATCGTACCTTGGCTGCGACGGAGGAGTAAGGTTCGTCGAACAGTGACCACATCTGAGGCTTGAGCTTCTGCCACCACGTGAGGGTCCCCTCGTAATACGCCTCCTCGAAGCCGAATTTCCTGGCCAGTTCCTCCTCGGTGGGTTTCTCGGTATCGAGGTCCAACCTGTCGAGGACCGTCAGCGTTTCCTGCGTGTCCCGGTGCTGCAAGGTGTCGTCGGAGCGAAGGGTTTGGGAGAAGAGAGAGAGAGAGAGAGAGATGCAACAAGGATTGTTATTCGTAACCTGTGAAACTCCTTTTCGAGTGTGCTTTTTGTTTTGCCTTTGCGGGAGATAAAGCGCGCGTGATAAAAAAAAATGCGAAATTGCGCGCCTTGCGTGCTTTCTTGCGTGAAAAAGAAACCTCCGGCTTTGATCAGCCGACATGGTTTTTCTCCATATATTTATTTAAATTTGGCTTTGATCGGGCGACACGATATACCGTCCGCGTATATTTATATTTAAATTTATTCTCTTATTTTATCCGACATAAAACATTTTCAGAGATACAAGATATAATTAATTCTCAGAATACATAATGTTGAATTATATTTATACCTCCTTTGCAGGATTTGCTTTGCAGGAAAATGTATGAAAAAAAAAAACGATTTTAAATCTCTCATTAAATATCCATCTTTATTCATTATGCTTTTCTCATCTCTATTATTTTTATTATCTTGGATATCATAATCTTATTTGATTCGGAGGAACGAATTTAAGAGAGGAAAACGCGTCATGTAAAATTAATCACACGTCTTTCACGGAGTAGATTCTAGCTAGAGTATTAAAATTGATTGCCATTAAAATGACGTTGATAATTAAGAGCGCTTGAGTGAAAAGACGTTAATTATGTGCATTAAAATTGTGAAGAAATTTGAGTATGATAGAAAATGTATTTTCTGATAGGATGAATCAGCGATAAATGTTTCCAGTGTCCGATCAGATAATTTTGAATTAAAATAGTCATATATATATATATACACTGCAAACTCGGTTTCTATTCATTATCTCGAGCCGTTAATTACGCTGGAAAAATTTATCTATCGAAACATCCTGTATATTTTGCGTTTTATATATAAATCTATATAAAATACTATATTTATAATATATGATAAAAATAAAAATAATATCATTATTCATTATATACAATAAATTATTATACAAACATTATTATATAATAAATGACTACATAACAATTTATTATATAATAATGAATGTATAATATCCGGTAAAATAAATATAACATTTCATTTATTATATAATAAATGATCACGTTACATTTATTACATAATAAATTATTATATTTATCATATATGATATCCACAAAAATGTACATCCACATTTTGCACACTCTGAGAGTGCATCAGTCCTGGTGCACGCTTAAGCGTGATCAAGCGTGATTAGGCGTGGACATTTTTGAGAGAATGTCGAACGTTATTTCACGATATACCTGCGTATAGGTCATCCAACAGCAGGGCTCGACCTGATTGGAGTCGAGCCCCCAGAAGTCGAGCTCCTCCTCGAAGAGCGGGCCGCAGACGTCCGTCGGATAGTGCAGCTTCCCGGTGCGATAGTAGTTGAGTACCTGGGCGAATACGCCCGGGTGCCGGTCGAAGAAGTACTCGTTCAGGATCGGGTCGTAGTTGGCGAGGGCCTCGGTAAGCCGCGAGAGCCTCGTCGCCGGGATCTTCTTCAGGGTCGCCTTGTACGTCTCGTGCCGGATTCCGCCCACGTTCAGAACCACGCGGTTCTCCGCGTCCATGTTTATCAAGTTCATTTTGATCACGGCTCTGCTACCGCCGGCCCCGACTCAAAGAAACCCATGTGATCTGCGAACAATATTTTTGCGCTCACGTCGCGTCATCCGCTCGAATTGGACGTATCGTTCCTCTCAGGGTGCGACGATCTTTTCAACCCGATCGAACCTTCTACAGTTGTAGATTATTGATTTCATTCAGGCGGTGATTATATGTATAAGTGTCAAAATCAGTTTATCAATTTATCGATTTTAATTTAAATCCCGTTGAAAATATGTTTCACGCAATAATTTAATAATTCTTTTTAGCGGAGGAATTCAAGGAATTTTCACGTTTATCGATTTTAATTTAAATCCTTTGAAACACACGCGTAAATAGTAATTTATTTCAGTATGATATAATAATTCTTTAGCTAAAGAATTCGAGAAATTTCCGCGTTTATTGATTTTCATTAATCCTTTTTAAATAATAATAATTAATTCAATAATTCTTTAATAATAGTAATTAATTTTAGTATAATAATATTTTTAAGCGAAGGAATGCGAGGAATTTCCACGTGCTTTGTGAATCGGCCTCGTTCTATCAAAACACGCACGGCGAGAGCTCGTATTCGTATTCAATAAATATTTACATAACGATTTCCGGAAGCATGTGATTGAAATCGGCTACACAAATCTTACTCTTGTTACGTTACGTTACAAATCGCATATCCGCGATTTTAAAAGGAAGATCAAACGCGAAATGATTTTATCCTACTGTATTATTCTGGTTTCACTTTAATATCTCCACCGTAAATATCATTGGGATTACGTGACGTAGTCCCGAGGAGAAATATGTTACTTCTCCTTCAAGATCTGCTCGTTTCAAAGACCATTTCAGGATTCGCGTGAATCGAAACGCGAACCCTGCGTTCCATTCAACATTACGATAATTGTATACCGTTTGACATTTAATCAAAAGCCGCTTATACAGCTCAAGAGTCTCACAAATAGCTCGGAATTGCGTCGACTCTTTAAATCCCAAGTGTATAGGTATGTGTGTGTGTCTGAGATTCGCATTCATCCAAGTTTCAGGGGAAAAAAGGAAAAGAGTAAATATCAGAAACAAACGTCGAAAGAGAGAGAGAGAGAGAGAAGCTGCTGTTATAATGCGGAAATACGAGAAGATTATACGAAGATGTGAGATGAATTAAATCGGATTAACCATTTCTATTAAGGCATATTTTTTATCCTTTATATTAATGGCTACCCAGGTATCAGCTGTGTATTTTAGACACATTTTTAATAGCTGATCAAACATTCTGTTTCATTATATTTTTTAGAAGACTTCCGGAATACGAAAACCCTTTTATATTTTGTTATTTTTATTAAATTTAATATTTATAATATTAATATAAAGAAATATACAAATTTTTCTTAATTTACACCAATCAATTTATATATTTTCCCCTAAATATAAAAATTATTATTATTAAAAATAATAAAAATTCTGAAATATTAATTTATTAAATTCAAATGTGCTCGACACATTTTTAATTTTTAAAGTTGTTTTGGAGATACTCGATTAAAAAGTTTACTAAATATACAAAATTAAAATCATTGAAGAAACATCTATTACAATTGAACATGCAATTATTTTCCTGATAATGATCATGTCGCAAATATAAATTTGTTCGTTAAGATTTTGCAGGTTGTTTATTTTTTGTCGCTGTTGAATTATTTATACGCAAGCTTTGCTCGAGAGGGACATTAAGTAACCTTTTCTCGGTCGTGTAACATCAATACATTTGCGCCAAATTATGCACGCATGCCTAATGTATTGATATTTCCCGCCCGATATGTAAGAAGGGTCTTCGAAGATGATATTTCAGTCCTCAATCCGAACTGGGAGAGAAAGAGAGTATTTGCTATTAGATTTTTAATTATTTCCACGTGTTAAGAAATGATGCGACAATTAAAAATCATGATCGAATAAAAGTTTCTGAATTTACGGTGAAACCAAAATTTTGCAAACGCTACAAACAAAGAAATAAACAATATATGTACTTATATCTAGATGAGAAGAGAAATTATATTAAAAATTTTTATTAGATTTCTCTCTCGACGTATCTTTTTCATTTAAATCTAGATTCCGCGGCGCAGATTTCACACTCGTGTAATAGCCAAGTTAAAAAAAAAAAAAAAAAAAAAAAAACTCACGGGAGAAAAGAGAGACGACGTAGAATTTGTATGAAACATTTTTACCGCGTGATCTTCCGTGTAAAAGTGGAACCGTATATAAAAAAATATGAATCAAGGGAGGAGAGGGACAAGTGGTATCGGTTTTTCAATCCCGTGTTGCTTTGTACTACAATTGTGTATACATGTGTGTGTGTGTACAAAGTTATACAGTAATAAAAGCTGGCACACGATGCGGCTACGCGACTATAGTTTCCTGCGTGACCAGAGTTTCTCGATTATCAAATCAAGCCACTCGCGGAATTTTATCGCAAAGAGGAGAGAAGAGAAAGGAAGAAGAACCATCAGCTGGAAGGACAGATATTACAAAGCGACAGATATGAGAAGAAAAATCGCGTGCCATCCATTCGGATTCCGGCGCGATATGTCATCCTCATTCTCATCATCATCGTCATCGTCATCAGGTCTGTTTTTAGCTGAACTGGTTGCACTTTAATTCAGAGTTTATCTTCCTTCTTCCAATGTGGAGTAAAAAAGATAAATCTGAACTAGTGTACCCCAGTTTTAAAACAAACAGATCTATCAGCATTGTCATCATCATCATCATCGTCATTATCATCATCATCGTCATCATCATCATCATCATCATCATCATCATCATCCTCATCATCATCATCATCATCATCATCATCACCATCATCGCCATCATCATCATCATCATCATCATCATCATCATCATCATCATCATCATCATCATCATCATCATCATCATCATCATCATCATCATCATCATCATCATCATCATCATCATCATCATCATCATCATCATCATCATCATCATCATCATCATCATCATCATCATCATCATCATCATCATCATCATCATCATCATCATCATCGTCATCATCATCGTCATCAGGTCTGTTTTTTTTTAGCTGAACTGGTTGCACTCTAGTTCAGAGTCTATCTTCTTTCTTCCAACGTGGAGTAAAAAAGATAAATCTGAACTAGCGTACCCCCAGTTTGAAAACAAACAGACCTATCAGCATCGTCATCATCATCATCATCATCATCGGGAGATGCATCAGAGATCTGAGGTCGACGCGCCAGAGTCTATCGAGTCTAGAATAAGGGCGCATGGACGCGGATTCTAAATCAACCCTGACGGCGGCGGGAAACGTCTAGCATCGATGAAATCCGATCGAATCTTCGAGGTCGGTGCGCATTCCCAGTGACGTCACCGCCCGTACATACCGTGTATTCTCGCACGTGCATGAGCGGCAGCGTTCTCTCGAACGAGGGATGACGATCGACCGGCGGGAGGGGTGGGGGTGGAAAGGGGAGGATGGGGAAGGGGGAGGAATGATCTCGGACACGACTAGGTCTTGTGTATATACGCGTATTATGGGAATTCTAATCACCATGCTGATCACCTTCTTTCGCGTGGCCGAAGCCAGCGAATTAACGTCAGGAACGGACGACGACGACGTCGGCCGTCAGGCGGCGTCGACCAACCCCTCGTCGAGAATCGATAGTCTGCGTGCAGAGGCCGATAAGCGCCCCGTAATGGCATTACCTTTGTTCTCGCGTTTGTATTTGCCTTCGCGAATACTTCTCGCTTTTCACCAGAGGATGTCTTTGGGATCCAGGGACCCAGGGGATTGGATCTGGTCCTAAGCCGACGCGAGCGAAGGACGAGATTGAAAGAGAGGAGACGGACGAACCCCGTGAAATCAATGGGGCGTCTGACTGAACTGAGAATGTTGAAATACTGGAGTAGGTCGAACGCGCGCGAACGAATCGACTGGTCTATCAGGGACCCCAGAAGGGTTTTCCGTGTTTGTTAAAGACTAAACTTGAAAATAATTTGGATGATCCGGATAGGATTTGACACATAAAGATTAACCTTTCCCATCGCGTGACACCTTTCGAACATTACTTCGTCTCCCCACACATTCTTTCTCTCCCGAAGAACTCTGCGGAGAGGTATCCCTCGTGATGCACGAGCACGTTTCCACCACATTCCACGACAACCCTCTCCCTTTCCCGCACAAGACTTCCTCTCCTCGTGAGTTCGCTCTCTTTGAGAAAGAAAAAAAAAAAAAAATACCCACCCTCGGTCGCGCTCTCTTCATGTCTCGGAGATCTTCCGCGACATCTCGACGGCACTGCTCCGGTTCTCCGCATACTCCATATCTGGTCGCCGATCTGAACGATGGCGCCTTTCCGGGACGATTGAGCGATCTGTCACACAATTCAATTTCGTAGGCACTAACGTCGAGGTCCGTTTCTCGTCCCTGGATTCGCGAGCGAGCGAGTTTCCCTCGTTCCTTCTTCCTTCCCTCCCTCCTTCCCTCTATCCTCTCTTTCCGTTTCGTCCCTCTGGCAGAAGGTCAGGTCAGGTAGGGAGAACGCGCCGCGGTCGCAGAGGGCGTTTTCCCCGTTTTCGCCGTGCTCGCGAATGGACGATCATCGGCGGCGGATCAGGCCTTCATCGCGGCGCCACCCGGTAACACCAGCGCGGACGACGAGCCGTCATCATCATCATCATCATCATCATCATCGCCGGCTCGCGTCGTCGTCCCCCGTGACCGACCGACTGCGGATGTGACGAGGACGCACCGACGGGCGACTCGATCGCGGCGCGTACGGAACTGTTCTGACGGACGAGAGGAACGACGACGGCGACGGCGTCGGAGTGGGGGGTGGAACTCGCGGACGCGGGAGTGCGAGGGGGGGAGGGGGGGAGTGCGCGCGCGCGAACTCACCCTTCTCGCAACCTCCCTCCGACCTCTCTCGAGCGGCGACGCAACGACGACCGAGTGATTCTCGAGTTGGTGCGTTCGAAGGGAGGACTTCGAGATTCATCCCTCTGAGATTATATATATATATATCAGATCGGATCTTCTTCCTTAATCGAGCTTCTATCACCGAATACGAATCTTCTCGTTTAAGTGAACCTTTTATGAATAATGGTTTAACTTTTCTGTTTTGATTTCGTAGGGATTAATCTGAAAAAAAAAAAATAGATTCGATGCGCATCTGATATTTAAATTAAATATGTATTTTTTTTTCATTCGCCTAAATTTGTCTCTCGACAAAGAAATAATTATAATTTATGTACCTTTTTTTTAATTGAGTGGATTACATTTTTATGTGTGTATTTTAGGGATTATATAAATATATATTAATGTATTTCATTTTTTAAAACAATTGTTTTTTTATTATAAAATGAAGAATAACTAATATATATTGTATGTATAATATGTCAAGACAATTATATAATTAGCTATAAAAAATTATTTCACTTTTTTGTTTTGATTTTGTAGTGATTGATTTAAAAAAATATATCGCAATTTGTTTTATTTTTTTAATTAATTATTTTTATTTAATTTATTTTTGTTATATTTTAGGTGAAATGATGCTGAAGCATTTACACTAGTTGAACAGTAAGGAAAGATCTTTGAAAGATTAATAAAGTGTTCGGCACCACTCTACCTTGCAGAAAATATTTTTCTGAAGAAATTATGTCACAGTTATATGAAAATTTAAAAGCATGTATTCGTGAAAAATTAACTTCTGCAACAAATATATCGTTTACCGCTGATATTTGGATTCGTTCAGTAAATAATAAGGCATTCATAAGTTTGACAGTTCATTTCATACGAAGGGATGATATACGAAGAGAAACATATGTTCTCAACGCAAAACATTTTCCCGGTAGTCATACTGGCGTCAATATTGGTCAAATATTAAATGATGTAATAGAAGAATGGCACATAAATTCACCTGATTTTAAGAGATAATGCATCTAACATGATTGTTGGAACTGGAATGTACTTTTAAAAATAAAAAGTTTGAAATAAGTTTACGTTGAAGATGTATTTCTTTTAAGCAACTGATATTGATTCGAAATTATCGATATTCATTTTTGCATCAACTTTATTCACGATCTTATTAAGATCGTAGCTAACATACCTATTTAATTTATAGCATATTTTATTTGTGTATTTAACATAGTTTTTTTTATTTTCGTTATTATTATCAAGTATTTGAAAGAATGTATATTTAGAATTGTGAAAGAAACAACAAAAGTCGATTAATATATCGAGTGAATGAAAAATATAAATGTTTAGCATATAAATATTTACACTCGCGATTATTCTTATATATATATATATATATATATATATATATATATATATCAAAAGGATAATCATGAGTGTAAATATTTATATGCTAAACATTTATATTTTTAGATATATATATATATATATATATATATATATATATGTGTATATACGTACACGTGAGTTTGAAATTGTCACGATTAATTTTCGTGGCTACACAAGTCATCGTTATTGCTTTGGATGTTGTGCCAAGCAGCTTGAAGTGCAAAAGATATTTTATAGTACTTGAATTTATGGCTTGAAGTGGAGAGCAAAGAGGAAGGAAGTATTAAAAAGAAGAATGAGGCGACGACAGGTTGATTGATAAATCTAAAAAGTTGCACATACACGAAAATTAAACGTAAGATAAATTTTGTCTTAATTAATTAAAAGTATAGAATTAAAAAAAATATCACAAGAGCATGATATATTCAATACAGCTAGTCTAAATTAAATATATATTTTTTTTAATCCATTTAAATTTGCTATCCCCGATAATAGTGATGTTCATTCTCGAAAAAGTATTTTACAATTTTGCATAAACTTTATTCACAATTTTATTAATGTTAAGGCAATATATCTAATTTATAACATTTTATTTTTATATGTGCTTAAATATACAGTTTTTTATATTCAGCGACAAATATCGATAGTATCAAATTTGATCGACTTGTATACTTTTAATTAATATACGCAAATCTGAATAAGCTTCTCTCTAAAAAAGAAAACTAGGTAATGGAATTGATATTTCATTGTTTATATTTTATATGAACGATATAAACGTATTTAAAAATCTTTCTTACGTAAAATTGAAAAAAAAGAATCGATCGCTCTTTATTGAATTACGAACATTGTAAGGTTTATCTCTGCGAAATTTATGATCACCCGATCCTCTTGTATCATTTAATATATCGATTTATGTCTCTGAAATTAACCATTTCTCTCCGTTTCTCCCCGAAGTCTCATTCACGATTAAAATCGTGCGATTTTAAAGTTCGCGCGTTTTAATTTTGAATTCGACGAGGCTATGTAAAGAGGTATTTTTCTTTTAGGTCACGCAATCATCCTTCTTTTTACTGCCGTTTTTTCTTCGATCTGACATATCGCACGAGATTGCGATTTTTCACTGCGAAACGATCAAAACCCGTGGGGGAAAAATCGGAGTTACCTCTGTCGTTCTGCACTTTTTATAGCTCATAAAACACCTGTCTTCATCTCCTTTATACTCTCTCTCTCTTTCCCTGTAATCCGTCCTTTCTCATCTCTCTACTTTAGACCTTGGCTATATAAATGAGTGAAAGAGGGATGCCTTTCCCGATAGAGAGTAAGAAAAATAATGATCGATTTTTAAGACTCTCTTCAATTTACGTTAAAAATGATTTTATATCGATCATGCACATATTCCGTTGACTTGCGAAAATGCTCTCCATTTTTCATGCTTTTGTACACAATTCTGTGTTCTACAAGAATCGGAAGAGTATATTATCAAATTTCTTCATTTTTCTTTAGTAGAATTTTTTATCATTTTTATATCAGCTCATAAATCAAATTTATTTCTTTTTTATATTCATTCTTATTAAAATAGATATAAAATCAGAAAAATAAAAAATAAGCTCATCAAAATATTTTCTTAATAAAAATCAATGTCATAAAGTTAGTAGATTAAAAGCATATTATATATAACAAGAGTTTATCTAAAGGATTTCCATTTGTCCGAAATTAAAATCCACTTAAACAGAAGTGATATTTATTGTACAGGATATGATGATTTCCCTAGATGAAACTATTAGGCGGTCAAAAAGGAATGTATAATGAAAAAAAATTAAAATTTATTCAAATAGAAATGATATTTAATTATGCAAACTATAGAACACGCATTTTTTTCTGGTCTCCCTCTCTTTCTATAATTATTCTATTTAAATAGATAAATGAGACTATTATAGGCAACCAAAAAGTTGCAGCTGCTCCGAAAAATCAGGATGGCAAGGCATGTTGATATTTCGACCGGAGCCGCGTCCGGAAAAATAAAAAGGAAAAGAAATGTAAAGAGTGTCGGATGCTACAAGCAACGTCCCGCGTTACCGAGTATTGTGCATATGGGTTGCAAAGTACATGTGTCCCGAGGCCCGAGTGGGCCACCCCTCGAGTGGGGTCGTTTCTACTCTCGAGCGAATTTCTCCACCGGTCGATGGCTTACGCTTGCGCGCTGACGCCTCCACAGGAACAAGCCTTTGCTCTCTCTCTCTCTCTCTCTCCCTCTTTCTGTGTGTACCGAATTATACCCTGCGAGAACAACCCTGACACTTTTCCATTAGCCGCGCTTCAGAGTCGAAGAGGATTAACGTTCGATAACCCGGAGATAATGCCGATCATCCGCGGATACTATATTTCCCGAGACGTCGTCCTCCTTTGTTTGCTCAGAACTTGGCGTCGACAGGGACACGCGCGGAAACTGTTTGCTCAATTTTTTTGCATACTTATAAAAGGATTAGGTTGACTTATGCATAAACATTATTTAATAATATATAATTTTTTACTAATTTATTATTTTAATAATATATATATTAAATATATAATACCTAATATGTAATTGAGACAAAAAGGGAACGAAAAGATGGCGATTTTTCGTCTCGATTTATTTTTATTTCATTTCTTTTTTTAATCACATCTATAGGTATATGATATATATATGTAGACATTATCGACATGTCGACCACTAAATTATTACAGCAAATTGTAATCAAATGTAAGATAATTATTCTTTATTGACATTTTAATATTTATTCTCTGACGTTATCGTAAAAGTATCAGAAACCATTGTATCAGGAGACGTAAGTGGCATTTTGTTCTCCAATGTTCCTGCCGAAGACGCATTTGTTGATTGATTATATCGTTTCCACTTGACTGAAATTCCTATTCGATGCGGAGAAAGTATTCGCGTTTTCCAATGTCGCAATTGCCTTTGTACGTATTTCTGGCAAGTTTATGCGTGCGCTTGGCTATAATAAATGTCGATTAAAATGATATAAAAATTCAAATGGGAGACACGATCAATTATAAATTATAATTAAATAAATATTCTTTAATATATTGTTTTCTTATAATTTATAATCAATGTACGTCTTTTTATAATAAAATAAATACTAAAATTTTATATAGGACGATTGACGTCAAAAAATGTGTGTGTGTACATAAATATTGTAACATATTATTTCTAATCCGACGCTTAATCGAGATGTCAAACTCGCTAGAGACTTGAAAGTTGAGCTCGTCAAAAGTTGGTGATCCTCGACGTGGATTTAACTTTGACACGACGGCCTCGTTCGTCTCGGAGTAACAGGTAAAATCTGCTTCGCTGTTTCGGCAACTTGACACGTGCCTGAAAACTTGCAATTAATTATCTTTTTGTCCAAAACTTTGCTATCGAGCTCGAATTAAATGGCTTACGTGCGAGATTAAACATTTATAGGGTAGAGAAATTGATAAGCCGGCCTTGTTAGATACAGCGCGTGTACCTGAGTATATGTGAATAAAACATGGAGAAGTTGCTGACCAGAACCGGAAGAGAGGAGAGAACCGGTTTCGGTCGTAGTGAGCAACTTCTCTATGTTCCGATAGTTAAAATCATGGTAACCCAGGCCCACCATGCACAAGCAAATCCCAACAACGATTTTGACAGCATAAACCATGTGGTATGCTGTCAAAATTGTTGGGATTTTCCCGAAAAATCGCGACAGAAAACCCTCACAATTTTTTGTATTATTAAATTAAATTCGATCTCTCTCTCTCTCTCTCTCTCTCTCTCTCTCTTTGTGGCCTTCCAAGATCTTTTCATCAATTAGTCCGGTGGAATCACAGATCTTTTTTTTAAAACTTTATTTTTTATTTCTGCAGCAAATCTATGTTTACACGCGATCCGCATAAGAAAAAAAGTCGACGTCGAATTGGGCTCCGCAATATTTTTTTTCAAACCGAGAATTACGCTTTCAGAAGACTCCGTCGTAAAAGTTTTCTACCATCTTTTACCAGAACTGTGCTCTTATAAAACATTTAATTTTTTTATATCTCCCGTGAAAGCCAAAGGCTAGAAGAATGTACCTGTCGGCTTTCTTGTTCTTTGCGAGTCTATTATAATATAGAATAACAGACTGACAAAGAGCACTCAGAGATTCCTAGGACAAGGAAGAAGACTAGTAGTGCCAGCTCTCTGGCGGACGCATTAAAGGTGTGGATAAGTATCCTGAGTCCTCAGCTTGAATAGCCGCAGGACACGCGCTATCGACAGGAGGTCCAAGCGAAGGTTCGGTTCGGCCAGGAACTCGGTGTAGAAGCTCATCGTCGCTACTAGATCGATCGCATTGACAGGCAACACGGTGAAACGCCTTAGGCTGGAGGCAGGTAAGCCTCAGCCTGAAGCGTTTCGCTGTATCGCTTGTCAATTAAGTTACAACTTCATCATCCTAATGTAGGATAATTTTGGTTTATTAATTAGGGATAGTTGGCATTACGTTCAAGGAGATAGCAAATTTTCATCCTTCCGTCAATGCAGGATTTTCACCTTTCCATCAATATATGAATACCTGGGTACCAATTGGTGTTTTCGACACATTGCACTGTGACCATTTTTTTATAGCAGCTGATGAGCCATTAAACATTCTTTCCCGTTTTATATTGGAGAAAAGAATTGCTTTGGGTACCTGGGTATCCAAGTTCATTAACAGAAGGGTTAAAAATCGTACTAGGCAACGGAGCACTTTTTTTACAATAAACCAATCGTTGCAAGCGTGTTCCAGGTAAACAAATGTTCGATGGGGACCAATCTGGGAACTGGAGGAAACAACTTGAACAGTGGTATTGTTCCAATAAGTTTTCTTCAGTTCTTTAAGATCGTTCTCTTCAGCAAAGGCATATGCAATAGAACCGACAGGTAGATGAAGAATATGGACGCTCAAGCTATGCATTTGGTTGTTGACAAAGTGTCTCCGCGATACGCCTCCTCGAAACCGAAAGCACGCGCGATTTCCTTCGTCGGAGAGTTTCTTCTTGCCCTCGATGTCGAGGGTGCGCCTTGCGTGTCTTGGTGAGTGCTATACGTGCTCCAGCAGCGCGGTTCTACCTGCAGAAAGTCAACTTAATTAAGGAACTATTAAATTACTCCGTGAGAGCAATGTAATCGATTTATGCGAATCAGTTATGCCGACTCATAGATCACACAAAGCGCACCAACTTCGAAATGTGAATAAAAAAGTAGGATAGATACGAAATGTATTTTATTTAAAGAACTTCTTTAATTTGACATTTAATAACAAATGTGTCTGGTATTTAATATTTATCAGTAAATGGCGTCTTCTTATCATCTTTTAAATTTACGCATGAAAATACATACTCTTCATTATTTGACACCTTTGTTGAACTTTGACTCTCTTGAAAGAAAATGATACTAATTACTTTTGACATTTAAAGAAACGGAGTATTAAATTAAAATTGCAATCGCTTGTAATTTACAATACAAACCCTCGAATTAATTAATATTTTCATGTAAATTTAATTTTTCCTCTCTGTTTCTTATTAAAATAACAAAAATATAATTAGCATTAGTTTCTCAAAGAAGTCAGTGAAGGTATATTTGAAATAATTGACACAAAAATTATTTATTAAAATATAATATAAAATATTATTATCTAAATAAATATAAATATATATAATATTTATATTTTTATTGTTATTCTATATTATTTGTTAGCTTTTTCAATAAATGTATATAATTTTAAATTGCTAATTAATTATCGTCTGGATAAGAAAGATATCAGATCAAATCTGGTTCGAATCAAGACCCCAAAACTTGAATTTCTCCTCGAAAAGAGAACAGCATACATCTGTTGGATAATGTAACTTTCCCGTGCGATAATAATTAAGCACCTGAGCAAAAGCATCCGGATGTCTGTCGTAAAAGTATTCATTCAGTACCGGGTCGTAATTCACTAACGCCTCCGTCAAATGTGACAATCTGGTATCCGGGATTTTTTTCAACGTCGCTTTATACGTCTCGTGTCAAACGCCACCCACATTCAGTGTCACCTGATCGTTCCATTTATCGTCCTTCATTCTTTTTTTCTCTTAGAACATATGTGCAAAATAATACATTCGTTATACAAAAATATTTTAAAAAATCTGAATATTTATATTTATATATAATTCTTTTTTTATACATTTTTTATTGATTTATATTTTATATCGAATTATGTTCATTTTACACTTATATGATTTATACGCAAAAAGAAAGGAATAAAAAGGGATACCGAACATCTCTGGAAGATTTTAGAGTTTCAGCAATTTTTTCAGCTGGTGCCGAATTATGGCTTACATGACTCATGTGCAAACATACTTCGTAACATTATTTCCGTTTCTAAAATATTTTGGAAGAATATTACGGGAAATGATGTCATTGATCGACCTAAATTAGATGATTCGAAAAGATATACGTTTTTCTTAGTAAAACAGATTCAGCATCAGTTTTTTGGAACTAGTTTCATATTTCTTAATAATAATCATAATTAAAAGTTTTATTAATATGATATTTATAAATCATTTTTTAAATCTTATACTTATTTAGACAAAATATATAATTCGTATCAAAAATATTTATTTGCAACTTAAATATATTATAATTTGACTTTAATAAACTAATTTTTGTTTTAATAAGCAATTTACACATTTATAATGATGAAATTTCCAAAAGTATATTAATATCTCATTATAATAAAAATTTGTCGATATCTGTGAGATCTGCACCGACTCAGAGATGCAGATTTGTCATTCATGCGACCTCTCTACATCAGCTGAAGAACTACGTATACCGGGTGCTTCAAAAATATTTACGTAATCAATTTATAGTTATAAATATACAATAAAAAATGTATAATGAAATAAAAAATATGAAACATAAAACAGAATAATACAATTACCATTATTGATACCAAAAATTACCACAAACTTTCGAATCATAATCAAAAACAGTATCATTATAAATTGTGCAAAAAGCTTGTGTAAGATTTTTTAAATTGAATAAATAATGTTAAATTAAAATCAATGTAATGCATAAATATAGCGAAATAAAAAATGCAAATGCTGCAATATATTTCTAAAAAATAAAAAAATTTTTTTTAAATTAACTTCACCAAAAAAAAAAAAAATAATGAGAAATTCAACTATATCCGATTAAGATGTACCTACGTTGATCGAAAATACCTCATCGCTTTACGGGTAGTTCGGGTTCCGTAATAAAGAGGGTGACGGCGAAAGGACACGCAGGAGCTCCATCTGGACTCCAGCCGGACACTCTTTCTCTCCCTCTCGTACTCTTCGTAGGCGTATTTCCGCGCGCATGTACTTTACCGCGAAACGTGGGCGTCGCAGCTTTAAGGACGGCGCCCGTCTATGACGTCATATTTGTTTCATTTTCCGCCGTGCCAACATACGTCCGGCTTGTCTTTTCAATATCGCAACTGTGTCATGTCGTTTATCTCTCCCTCTCTCTCTCTCTCTCTCTTTCACCACCTTCTTACTCATCCCCTCCCTCCACCCCTTTTCCACCCCCGTCCTCCTCATTCACTCTCGCGCCGCGACGTGCCAGTTATACCAGTAATGTTTAACATGTCGCGCTTTTTTATCTTCCCTCTCAGCTAATGCCATTGTCCCGCATACGTAGGAACACGTGTTCCCGGCGGAACAATTCTCATGTTCATTTCCTGATTTATCTTTCGACAATCTTACTACAGACCGATCCGGGATGCGAGTTTATTTATCACCTGGACGCTTTTTCAGAAATTATAGATGCCAGAGATTAGAGGACCCGTATACAAGAGTATAGGGTGCGATAAATCAAGCAAGAATAGACGTTTGTTCTACATCCACAGTGTCAGATCATTTAAAAATATATATTCATATTTTCACAAAATTTAACAAAGATAACACTTTCCTTGATCCAAGACGCAGATATAAATAACAGTACAAAATTTCATTCAACCGATCATCTATATAATTTAATCCAGCAAACAGTAAAATTAGTGATCAATTATCCGCGAGAGGATCCAGATCATCCCCTACGTGGACCCTTTCGGTAGAAATAATCTCGAAGAAACTATATTTTCCGACTCATCCACTTCTCAACCCCTGTCGATATTATAAAACGCGTACAAATATCACGATATATATTTATATACACAACGAGAGAAGGAGAAAATGTTCAACAAATTCTCGTCATCGTCATCATCATCCCTCTCTCCCACGTTTCCACTCCCTCCATTCATCCCCCTCGAGTCCACCCTCTCTCGCTCACGCACCCTCTCTCGGTCGACTCGCCGAGAGAAGGGCTCGTCATCCCTCGGTCGAGGACCACCGAGACGCGTCGCTCCGGTCGCTCCGGTTCGCGTCTGCCAACGTCGCGTCGCGGTGCAGCCCGTCGTCGTCGCTCGCCGTCGAGTGAATCCGCGTCGGATCCAGGGAGTCCGCGAGAGACAGTGACAGCTGTCATCCCTCATCATCATCATCATCATCATCATCATCCGCCGTGGTCTCGCGAGTGTCACTTGCGAGACAGGAGAGACACCGTCTCCTCGGAAGGATGGCGACACCGACATGAGGGTGTCAGGCTCGCGACGAGATAGTCTACGAGGAGGCTGGCTGGCTCGCGGCTCGCCCTCTCGGTGATCTCCCGTTGCTGCTGCTCGAGAGAGGAAGAGTAGAGATCGGGAAGGATACGGATCGATAGGCCAGCTGGTGGCCGCACATTTTCTTCGCTCTCGCGGTCCCCATTCCCTGGGGGTGCGGCCCCAGGATGGTGAAGGCGCCCAACGTTGGTCCCGCCGGCGGCACGCCGGCCATCAGACGGATCCATCCCGGCCCGGAGATCGCCATGAATCCCAGGAACCTGCCCACGGCGTCGGCGAGCATGCCGCCCGCCATGCGAGGAGATGCCGACGGCGTCGACAGAACGACGCCCGTTTTTCACCCCCAGGTATAGACGTGTTTACGTTCCGGGCGATATTGCTCCCTTGTTTCGAAACGCTTTTTTCGCGGTTTTTTTTATTAGACGCTGATCTGTTCGTTTTCAGTCGATCTTTCGACTGAATTATACCGTTTCGTTCGATTTTATTTTATTTTCAGATTTTTTATGTTCAATTAACAGAATTATAAATTTAAAGTGTAAGACAGGCAATAAGAGCCAATCGCGGAAGACAGTGCGTTATCCCAACGAAATTAAATTTTTTTGTTAGAATTGAATATCTGTGCACAAGGCATCAAATTTTACTTGGTCACGGCCAAGATTTTAAAATATGAAATAATCTCATATATTTGAGATTTAATTTCGGAAATAAATAAATAAATGCAAGAAATGCAAAATTATATTTTGGTGAAATTTTAGCTAAGTTAAGAAATTTCCTTTTCAGCGCACAAAGACGAAATGTATAATAAAAACGATAAATATGTAAAATATATAATATAATAAACATAATAAATATTAATATAATGAATTAATATAATAAACAAATATAAAAGAATATGATACTTAATAAATGTAACAAGTGTAATAATGGAGAATAAATGACGGAAAATAGAGACTTGTCGAAGGATTAATAAAATTCGTGCGTGATTTATGATTTATATCTGCAAAGGTGACTAGATTTTATTCCTTGTGCAACGACTTTGTAATATAACGTTGTGTTAATTTAAAAGCGTAGCTTTATGCCTGCAGCAGATAATACTTTAATACTATTATCACATATGTCGCGTTAAACGCTATCGTGTAAAGACCTCGCTTTACATATGCACATTTTCATGTAGCACTAATCCGTTCGTATCTTAAAAAGCTATAGCTGTTAAGATTCATTAATTTGCGCGCCGCTATCAGATCCTGTTACCGATAATTAAATTCGATCATAATTAAAGTGTTTGACGTTTCTCATTAACGGATAAGTATATTTATTCGAATTCGTAGCCACTTTTTCATTCTCCGTATAATTAATGTAATCAAATTTTTGGAAGAGCAACTCTTTTCAGAAGAATTTTTTTATTTATACTAATAATCTCTATTTCTTCTTCTCCTGTTATTCATTTCTACACACATATTTAATGTATATTAATATTATATTAAAAATATACTTTTATATATTATATAAAAAAGATATATTAAAAAATATATGTTTTAATATTTTAATATCTATATATATACATTAAAGATATATTTTAATATATCGTAATATACGTAAATAAAATATAAATAATATAGGAGAAGGCGAAATAGACTGTACATATTTTCTTGAAAAATTATTTTTATATATTTTATAAACTTGATAAGAGTTTTTATACATTTATTCGCACATGTGCAAAAAAAAAGATCGCTCGCGATTTTGTTTGCACCGCGACTTTAATTGAAAAATATATGAACGTTGCGAGCATCGAGATGACGAGGGTAATATTATTCCGATCATCCTTTGAGAGAACGAGGACGTTGCTCGCGCTTGAAAATCCGTTTCCTGCGATCGAATGTAGGTCAGTCCTCTCCTAGAGAGAAATGTCGTTCGCTCTCTCGAAGGAGATGGAAGAACGGAACGCGTTTTCATTTTCCTCGTCTTCGTCTTGTCGCTCCTTCTTTCTCTCTCTCTCTCTCTCTTCGACAACGACGAACAATAATCTAAACGAATCTCATCACCGGAAACTGATAATACGATAACGATTAGGCGACTACAATGACTCCGCAGGGCCGAAGATAGCGGAACTCCATGTTTAGCAAGGAATAATGCAAGAACGGTAATGAAGTCCGGGAAATTACAGAAGTTTAATGCAGCGTCTATTGCGATTTCCGATAACGATGGCGAGGCACAATGAGTTCGTATATAGCTATGGAACTTTGATGAATGAAGCAGTTTGCATCGTACCCTCGATCAAACAGCGATACGGTTTTTAAACGTCCCGCGGAATAAGGCAATAACTTCTTCGCGCTTTCCTCTTTCTTTCTACACGGAAGACCGAAGTTATCATATATTTTTTTTTTTTTATATCGAGTCGGAAGAGTTGCTTTGAGTTTTTTTCGCGCTACATTTCTTTTCTTTTCTTTTTTCTTTTTTTTTATTTTTTTACAAGCAGTTTGCCGCAAGAGTTTGAAATATCGAAAAGAAATATTTTTCTAGCTGAGATCTTTTCTTTCAAATATCGAAAATGATGTCGATAATTGATATCTTTTGTGTACAATCTAAAAGAGCGAAGTTATTATACTTTATCGTTCGTGATATACTTTGAAAGAGAAGCTCTTTAAGTTTTTCGCGCTACATATATTTTTTTCTGATAGTTTGCTGCAAATTCGATATTGAAAAGAAATATTTTGATTCGGCTGAGATTTTTCCAATATTGAACATAATGTCGATAATACGATAGTTTACGATAATTTTGCTCTATTTAGAATTTTTTCACGCCTAAAACCCTTAATAATTTTCTTATCTTCTCAATTTTATTACCTCGGATATGAATAGCTTCTCTCATCGCGGATATAGTCAAAATTCTTCTGCTATTTTTCATCTGCACTTTCAATTCAACGTCTATTTTGATACTTTCAGTAATTAAATTACTCTCTTTGAAACTAAATACATTTAATCTTTACCTTTGTCAAAAGCCCTCTTTTAAACTTCCATTTGGAAAGTTGTTTATTTACTCTCCATTCGAAGCATGAAAGAGCTCGAGTCCTATCAATTAAATTATTATTGAAATAAAATTAATTATGTATTATTAAATAATAAATATTAAAACTAATAACATAAATTTAAAAATTATTTAATATTAAAATCTTCAAGAATTCATAAACAATTAAATTATTTGTATTAATTACTAATACTAAAATATTAATTATTAATGATATTCAATAATAAAATAAATTTGAAAAATTATTTAACAAATATCGAAATCTTCGCCCAAAAATTAAGATTGATAAAGAGAGGAGCAAATATTCGGGGATATAGCGCATAATTTTTTTTATTTCAGTTTTCCGCGCGAGATTATTCAAAGAGTGCAATCGTCCAAATATCATCCATATCGTAAATTGCACGGCAATCCGTTTCACAAGAGAGTATCCATTTCTCATATCACATAAATCATTCAAATCGCATATCAATCAAGGTGTCACTCCCGGAACCTAGTTTCCTGTGGCGCGTTTCCGGAAATATATATATATGCACTCATCATGGACGTCTGCAGGATTTTTTTTTCAGGAGGAGGTATAATTTAATTTTTTAATTTTTTATTCTTATTTCTTTTAAATTTTATTTTTTTTGTTATTTTTATTCTTTTATATTAAATATGCAAATAAATTCCAGTGTTTATGCTGATGCTTAATTTTTTTACTGATTCCAAGGAGAATGCAGATGCCTTTTTGCCCTCCTCTACCCTCTCACTCATACACACATTATATTTTTTTCAGTGTAGTTATTTATTTTTTTATTTATAATTTATTTATTCATGTATAATTTATGTGTATGCATATATATAATTTAGTTACGTATTAATTAATTTTTATATTATATATAATGTGTTGGATTATTACATGGAAAATATGTTCTTATATATTCGTCTTTCAGCATCTTACTCTGTGTCTTTTACCGATATTAGTATATAATTATAATTACATACATAATTATCGAATCGATTATCGAAATAGACCCGAGATTGAAGCTTCTCAGAATCAGCTGATTGCAGCTAATTTAATTATTTATTTATTTCTAATTTATTTATTCATGTCTAATTTATGTGTATGCATATATAATTTATCTACGTATTTATCAATTAATTTTTATATCATACAATTTGTTAAATTGTTATACAAAAAATATATTCTTATATATTCGCAGCATCTTATTCTGCGTCTTTTACTGATATTAATATATAATTATAATTATATACATAATTATCGAATCGATTATCGAAATAGACCCGAGATTGAAGCTTCTCAGAATCAGCTGATTGCAGCTAATTTAATTATTTATTTATTTCTAATTTCTTTATTCATGTCTAATTTATGTGTATGCATATATAATTTATCTACGTATTTATCAATTAATTTTTATATCATACAATTTGTTAAATTGTTATACAAAAAATATATTCTTATATATTCGCAGCATCTTATTCTGCGTCTTTTACTGATATTAATATATAATTATAATTATATACATAATTATCGAATCGTTTATCGAAATAGACCCGAGATTGAATTGTCAGAATCAGCTGATTGCAGCTAATTTAATTATTTATTTATTTCTAATTTCTTTATTCATGTCTAATTTATGTGTATGCATATATAATTTATCTACGTATTTATCAATTAATTTTTATATCATACAATTTGTTAAATTGTTATACAAAAAATATATTCTTATATATTCGCAGCATCTTATTCTGCGTCTTTTACTGATATTAATATATAATTATAATTATATACATAATATATCGAATCGTTTATCGAAATAGACCCGAGATTGAATTGTCAAAATCAGCTGATTGCAGCTAATTTAATTATTTATTCATTTCTAATTTCTTTATTCATGTCTAATTTATGTGTATGCATATATAATTTATCTACGTATTTATTAATTAATTTTTATATCATACAATTTGTTAAATTGTTATACAAAAAATATATTCTTATATATTCGCAGCATCTTATTCTGCGTCTTTTACTGATATTAATATATAATTATAATTATATACATAATTATCGAATCGTTTATCGAAATAGACCCGAGATTGAATTGTCAGAATCAGCTGATTGCAGCTAATTTATTATTTATTCATTTCTAATTTATTTATTCATGTCTAATTTATGTGTATGCATATATAATTTATCTACGTATTTATCAATTAATTTTTATATCATACAATTTGTTAAATTGTTATACAAAAAATATATTCTTATATATTCGCAGCATCTTATTCTGCGTCTTTTACTGATATTAATATATAATTATAATTATATACATAATTATATCGAATCGTTTATCGAAATAGACCCGAGATTGAATTGTCAGAATCAGCTGATTGCAGCTAATTTAATTATTTATTCATTTCTAATTTCTTTATTCATGTCTAATTTATGTATATGCATATATAATTTATCTACGTATTTATCAATTAATTTTTATATCATACAATTTGTTAAATTGTTATACAAAAAATATATTTTTATATATTCGCAGCATCTTATTCTCCGTCTTTTGCTGGAATTAGTACATAGTTATAATTCTATCCGCGACACAGGTGGACGTCTCCACGCAGGTGGACCTCCACGGCGGCTACGGGGTTCCCGGCAGCCTGGACTCCTGGGATCGTCGGGCGACCCCGTTGTACTCGCGGGAGGACATCAAGGAGCAGTACTGCATCACCAGCCGGCAGCTGGACGCGGTCGAGAAGTCCGGGGGCGGCTTTTTCGGCTGCCTCTCGACCAGGGGCCCGTCGCCCTGCAGCTCCACCAGGAACTCCATCCTCTCGGCGTGCGTGCGTAGCGTCCCCAGCGACGAGAACCTCTGCGACGCGCCCTATCCTCGCAGGCCCCTCCAGATCATGTATCGTCAGCCTTACTCGACCTACTCCCGCGACCGACTCCTGGCGCGATACGATTTCGAGGACGAGACCGACTGGATCGAGAGTTCCTACTTCCGCCGAAGGCCGAGGTCCTTCTGCACCGTGCCCGACCCGAAGAGGTGAGTCAGGATCAGTCTCTGTCGATTATCCAAAGATTGAAGCTTCTAATTGGAAGAATCAGCTGATTCTAGTCTAATCTACGCTACACAAAATTTATTGAATTCGAACAAGTATTTATTTCAATATTGCCAAATAAAAACTATAATTTGTCTCAAATAAATGATTTATTTGACAGCATTGAAACAAATATTTATTAATTTAATTATTTTTTTTTTATTTATTCATGTATAATTTATGTGTATGTATATATAATTTAGTTATGTATTAATTAATTTTTATATTATATATAATCTGATAGATTGTTACATGAAAAATATGTTCTTATATATTCGTCTTTTAGAATCTTATTCTGCGTATTAGCTTTTCTGATATTAGTATATAATTATAATTATATACATAATTATCGAATCGATTATCGAAATAGATCCGAGATTGAAGCTTTTTAGAATCAGCTAATTGCAGCTAATTTAATTATTTATAATTTATTTATTTATGTATAATTTATGTGTATACATATATAATTTATTTATGTATTTATTAATTAATTTTTATATTATATAATTTGTTAAATTGTTATATAAAAAATATATTCTTATATATTCGTCTTTCAGCATCTTATTCTGCGTCTTTATATTTATTTGTTTCGAAAAGGATTTTCTTATAACATATAAATATTTTTTCACATCAAATCAATATTATTAGTTTCAAATAAATTATTTATAAAGCAGTATTAAAATGAATATTTATTCAAATTCAAAAAAAAAAAAATTTAATTGCATATTCTTCATATAACGATCTCACAAAATACATAATATAAAAATAAATTATACACAATAAAAAAATCTAACGAGGACAATTTTATAGATACATCGCAGTATCTGCGTGTACAATTCTTTCATATATAAAAGTATTTTTCTCGTTCGTACGTGAATTGACAATTATTAATGAATAGACACATTTTTGAAAAATATTTTTCGTAAACACTAGCTCGATTATTTTGTTAATAATGGCGGCAAACTGCAATAAACACAATATATATTGCGCATGCATCGACACGTGCAAAGGGCAATATTTGGCTGCTCGGTTATCTGGAGTAGTCGAGTTCCTCAGATATTTGGGGCAAATTACTCCGGCGGGACGCGTTTAGAATGTATGTATCTACTGATCGATTTATTGGTAAGGACTTTGGGAACGTAATTGATGGAAAGGCGTGTCGCGTCGTTACGACGAGCGTGCAAACGGAAAGGCAATGAAATTGGTATTTAAGAACGAGGCGACCTTCAAGCATCGCTCTCTCGTTTTCTGATCAAATAAAAAATATTTAAAGAACATTTAGAGAAATTTTGGAATACCTATTTCAGAAGCATAAGACGTTGTACAGTTGAAAAATAAATGAAAAGAAAAATAATGAATTTTTGGCAAAAAGGATAGATGCGCAATTATCAGCGAATAGAAATTGCTTAAAAAATCTAGCCGTTCTCTCTTGCATCGAGAAAGAGAGAGAATGAACATCCTATGCGCGGTTTTAGATAGACCTTATATAAAAACAATATTTATATAGCACACGATGTTCCATCGACTGTTACGTGTAAAGCCTTCCGTGGTCTCCCCGGAGTGTAGCATGCACACCTAAGGGGTTGGGTTTATTTCTGATTAGCATGAGTGCCGCAACGCTCCTTTATCAGCTTTTTAAGGTCAACGGAAAGCGGTCAATTAAAAAATTATGGTTGCGCGCAAAATCGCGGAATATATGTGCAGAAGAAAGGCAAATAAAATAGATTTTAGTACGACGGTATAAATATAGACACCTTTTGTGTTCGTCAGCGATGTTATATATTACATTTATTTCCCTTTTTATCAGTTTATTTTATTCATTTATTTTCCATGATTGTTTCCGTGCGTATGTGTGTATGTGTGTGTGTGTTTCCTGATAAAGATTAACCTACACAGATCACGCAATGACGTCTAAAATATTCTGACCATTAATGCATACGCGATACACATATGTCCGCGTTTGAGGGTCATCTATTTCTCGATAGAATGACATAATGTCATTCCGTTTCCTGCGATAGGATCCGTAACACGTGTAATCGAGTTATATTTGCAACAGTGTCTATGCACACGACTATTATCTTTTGACAATGTACCTTCTATCTAATTTATGTTACTTTTATTATTAACGACAGAATATAATCAATTACGATTGATTAAAATAATCTTTGATTATACGTGAATTATATTAATTTGGTCATTTTAATAAAGATAATTTTCATGATATTTGCCTTTTTAACGGTTTAAATTAATAATACAATTTCTATATTAAGTCATACTTTCAGAAATAATTATCTCCAATTTTGCTAATATCCATCGATTACGTCGAATCAATCATAAAATAATTATGAAATATAGTTCAATGCTGTAACTTGATTAAATACGTCTTTTTTTAACAGCTTAAATCAATAATACAATTTTTTCTTTATATCAAGTTACACTTTCAGAAATAATTGTCTCCAATTTTGCTGATAGTAATCGATTGCATCAAATCAATCAATTATATAGTTTAATGGCATATTGTAATTTCTTTAATTACGTGATTTCGCAAAGATATACTCGGGTAAATACATGATTTAAGATCATAATAATTTTTAATTATACATGAATTTACATTTTAATTATACATTAATTTGAAATAACTTTAATTAGGGTCTTAACATTTTCTTTCTTAACAGTTTTAAATTAATAATACAATTTTTGTATGTCAAGTCATATTTACAGAAATAATTATCTCCAATTTCGCTAATATGACTTGACTACGTCAAATCATTCATTATAGGTCAATTATAAAATAGGCAATTATAAAACATTTCTCAATGATATACTGTAATTTAATTGAATATGCGTGGTTTTCTTTCCCTGCGAAAATACTCTTGGGGTACAATTTTTTAATTGATTAAAATCATCTTTAATTATACATGAATTACATTAATTTGATTTGAATGAATTTTATTGAATTTAATTTTAATGAAGGTAATCTTAATATTTTCTTTCACAAAGGTTTTAATTAAAAATCTATTTTTTATCAGGCCATACTTTCAGAAATAATTGTCTCCAATTTTGCTAATATTATTCGACTACGTTGAATCAATTAAAGAACAATTATGAAAACAAATGATATTCTGTAATTTGATTGAGTATGCGTGATTCTCTTTCTCTCGCAAAGCTACACTTGGGTCAATAAATTTTTTAATTGATTAAAATAATTTTTAATTATATATAAATTACATTAATTTGATAATTTTAATTAAAATTTTAATAATATTTTCTTTCCTGTTTAAATTAATTAATACATTTTTTCTTACATCGAGTCATATTTTCAGAAATAATTGTCTCCAATTTTGCTAATTTAATTAAATTCTTTCTCTGTATCAAATTACATACACTCGGATCGATCATTTCTTTTCGTTGAAACAATTTTTAATTATACATTAATCACATTAAAATTTGATCATTTAATAAAGAATTAATATTAATAATTTTTTAAATATAGTTTAAATTAAAAATACACTTTATTTGATATGAAATCGTACTTTCAGAAATAAAATTACTTTCAAATTTTCTATGAAAATCAAATCAATCATAATTAAAACGAAATTGAATGACGCACTGTAATTTGATTAAAATACGTAAGTTCTCTCCCGCGAAGATACACTTGGGTCCCGGAAGACGAGGAATCCATGAGGCTGGAGGGTCCGCGGCCGGTCTTACCACCTATACCGCCTCCTCCGATTTCCATGACGGCGACGCAAGGACCGCAGGCTCCGAAGACGAAGCACGTGAGCTTCGCGAGATCGCACACGCTCACGTCGTTCGAAGTCCCGAGGAACAGAAGCCCGCCGAGGCCGCATAATCCGGAGCGTCTCATAGACTCGCAGCCGACAATGCAGAATACTATACTGCCCTCGTCCTTGCCCTTAACGCACCCCTATCCTGGCATCGAGCCACGTGTCCTCGTACTTGGTAAGTCTATACGCCGCCTATTGGAGTCGTATCGCTTAATACGATCGCGCGAAGGTTTCTCGTACGCGTGTTATATCAATTCCAATATATGCATATGCAAAGTGTAAATGTAACGATTCGAAAACGTTTGAATCGCGCTGTTGAAAAGTAAGATTAATTTTATTGGAATTTAATAAAGCGAGATATTTTCCGTGTCGCGCGTGGCGACCCCGCACGAGCTGCTTTTGATCCCAAGCCAAATATCACAGATTAAGCTGGGAAAGTAGTTGAGGCTATTTATCCGCGTGGCCGGCAAAGTTCGTTATAAGCTAGATTAACGCTCGGGAAACTACGACCTCGGAGAGGAGACAAAATGGAATCTAAGGCTGACGTGCGAAATAAATTTGTATGAAATTATTTCAAAATTCGAGAAAATCCTACATTTTCGAGAATCATTTTTCTCTATTGTCTTAACAAGCTTGAATTTCATTTTACATCGCAAAATTTGACGAAGACATGGATTTAGCAAATTATTATTTTTATAAATTGATATTCTTCTCTATGGCTTCAACAAACTTGAAGAGTTAAATCTGATGAAGATATTTGTGCAAATTCTTTATATTCTTATAAATTGATTTTAAAATAAAATAGTCGTCTATCGCCTCAAATCCTATATTTTAATAATTTTTCTCTATTGCTTTAACAAACTCGAAATGTTTAATTTTATATCACAGATGATGATGTTTATACAGAAAATATTCTTCTGAAGTAAATTGGAGAACCAACTGTAACTAAATTCTATATTTTAGTAATCCTTCTCTAAAACTCTAACAAACTTAAACATTTATATCGCAAAAATTTGACAAAGACATTTGTATACAAATTCTTTATATTCTCATAAATTCTGTATGTTAACAACTCTTCTTTTGTCCTAAAAACCCTGAAGAATATCTAATATTAATATTGTATCGTTAAAATCTGATGTGCATTTTATTCAAAAAATTCTTTACGCTCTCCCAAATCGATATTAAAGTACATAATTTTTTCTCGATTCAAAGGACATTATTTGATCGATTCGCGGGGCTGCTATCTTCGTTCCAGAGAAACCACCCAAACGCGGTGCCATGAAGACCCAGGCGACGCAGACGGAGATCCCGGCGATGTTTCGCGGTCGCGTGCTCCCGGTGACCCTGAGTCCCAGGACGATCCACCGTGTCAAGATGGTTTCGCAGGGCGCCCAAACAAACGGTTACTTTAATGGGAGGAAATTGACCAAGAGCTACTCGGAAGCCGGACAATTGGGCACCCCGCTTGGCGGCGTAGGAACACCTGCGAAAGAGGAGACCGACCACGAACCGCTCCACAGGACACAAAGCGAGGAACCGCCGAGGTCACCCTTTCTCGTTTCGACCACGCCGCCGCTGCCGCCATCTTTCACCTCCACCACCGTTGTTGTCGAAGAATCCTTGCCGAACGGAGATATTGTTCCCGTCGGGGTTGTAAGTATTTTTCCCCATTTAATATTTTAAGAGGGAAAAAATGTGGAGTCTCATCTTTTCACGTTTTCGCTATCTTAGCTTAGATTCTTCGGCACTCTGAATCATTTAGAAAAAGATGGGATATATACATATATTTTAGAAAAGATAAAGGGTGATCTAACTGTTATTTATTTATTTTTAAGATTCATATTTTTGCCTCGATTCTTTTTTTATATTTTAAGAGAGGGAAAAATGTGGAGTCTCATCTTTTCACGTTTTCGCTATCTTAGCTTCGATTCTTCAGCACTGTGAATTATTTAAAAGAAGATGGGATATATATACATATATTTTACAAAAGATATAGGGTGATCTAACTTTTATTTGTTTATTTATTTTTAAGATTAATATTTTTCCCTCGATTCTTTTTTATATTTTAAGAGAGGGAAAAATGTGGATTCTCATCTCTTTACATTTTTGTTATCTTAGTTTAGATAATTTTCTAGATAATGGGATATATATATATATATATATATATTTAAAGATAAAGAAGTGGTCTAACTTTTATTTGTTTATTTATTTTTGAGATTAATATTTTTCCTCAACATTTTTAAGAAAGGGAAAAAGGGATTCTTATCTTTTCACGTTTTTGTCACCGAAAGCTTAGATAACACTTTTTCTGAATTATCTAGAAGAAGATGAAATAACATACCTATTTAAATGTATTTGAAGTAAGATAGAGAGGTGGTTTTATTTTTCGTTTATTTATATATTCCGAAGATTTTGAGATCGCAGATAAAACCTTGGGGTGCATATTTTTAAGAAAAACAACTTATAATATATGTATATTAAAACAATATACTCGTAATTTTATTTATAAATCTTGAGTTTTTAAAAGCAAGGGATTTTTTAACATGTCATTAGACAGATGATTTTTACGTCATTTACATATTTATACATGTTTACAGTAAAGATGACGTAGAAGTGATATTTAAAAATTCTTACGTCAATGTATATTAAATCTATTAAACATTGCCTTTAATAATTTATAAAGGATAATTTCTTTTATCTAGCAATAAAATAAAAATAAACAAAATATATACTTTGTGATAATTTAGATATAATAATGCAATTACTTTATCTAAATTATTATCCATCTATTTTTATCCATAGCAGAGAAAAAACACGGCTATCGATTTAATATTTATCGTTACAGTGTGACAGATAGAAAATTAAAATAACAAATCGAAAAAGTGCTGGGACATATAAATACACATACAAATTCAGGTACATAAAAAGGGACTAGTGAAAAAGATACAATATTAGGTGCAACAAAATTATTTTTATAAATATGATGTTTTTTAAATCGGCTAACAGAGCCAAAGCACGAAAAAACCGATAAAAATATTTCTTTTTAAAATTAGTTGAGAGCCGATAAAAATATTTCTTTCCAAAATTATTTTTAAATCCCCCTATATTTATTTTAATAAGTATATTCATAATTTAGGAATTTTAAAATAATTTTATTACATTTAACCATCCATCAGTAAACTGGATCTTTTAAGTTCACCTCATATTTTTATGTTCAAAAAATCCCCAAAAAATCAAAGACTCGAATTACTGACGGAGGGTTAATATATCTATGCCCGACCCTTTTTATACCCGGATTTGTAGCTAAAAAATTGTCACGACATATGTGTAAGGGAAAACATGCGGAAAGGTAATCCCACCCGTAATTCCATGTCGGTTTCAGCATCGGGAGCATCGTCGCAAATCCTTCGATATAGACGATCAGGAGATCTTTATAAATTTCAAACCGGCACCGGTGTCGCCGGACGCGCGTGCCCTTCTCAGCCGGATTTCCGAGCCTACGCGTAGATTTCTACCCCTCCAGAAGACCTTCTCCGACGGCGAGATTCGTATCGAGAGGCGCGAGCTCATCGGCGAGAGCAGCGAGCCGAGTTATCCTCACACCTGCATGAGGAATCAACAGGACCCTGTCTGGGGGAGAGCTGTCAGAACGCCCGTCCAATTTTCCTCGACGCCCGAGGATCTGTCCTTGTTACGAAGTCTCTCGCCCCCCAGTGATCATCACGAAGAGGTAACAAATTTCTTTTGGCAAAATTAAAAAATAAATAAATTATCGCGGATTTTATTAGAAAGGAAAAAAATATTTCTTTTGGTAAAATTAAAAAATAAATAGATTATCGCGGATTTTATTAGAAAGGAAAAAAATATTTCTTTTGGTAAAATTAAAAAATAAATAGATTATCGCGGATTTTATTATAAAGAAAAAATATTTCTTTTGGTAAAATTAAAAAATGAATAAATTATTGCGGATTTTATTATAAAAAAAAATATTTATTTTGGTAAAATTAAAAATGATAAATTATTGCGGATTTTATTATAAAGAAAAAAAATATTTTGGAGAAAATTATAAAATGGATAAATTATTGCGGATTTTATTAAAAAAAAAAAAATACTTTCAGGAATTCCATGAAAATCTGATACGTCGGGGTCTCTTCCGAAAGAGAAGCGTATCTCTCGAGGATGGAGTGCAAGGTCTGTCTTCGGATGATTTCATGCTGCCAAGGTCACTTCCTACTTCGCCCACATCGCCAACTGCAGCAGCAAGTATGTCGCGTGATATATTTTCTATTCTAAAATTCTTCATCTCGATAAAATTCCAGCAAGCTTATGCATCTAAAAAAATCTATTAAATTCGAATATTTATATAAAGTCAAATATTATATACGCTTGCGAACTTGACAATCAGCTGATTATCGATCGCTTGCAATTATGAGAATAAAATTATGAAGGATACAATTTCTGAAAAAAAATTCCCTGCAGTCTCGATAAAATTCCAGCAAGCTTATGCATCTAAAAAAATCTATTAAATTCGAATATTTATATAAAGTCAAATATTATATACGCTTGCGAACTTGACAATCAGCTGATTATCGATCGCTTGCAATTATGAGAATAAAATTATGAAGGATACAATTTCTGAAAAAAAATTCCTGCAGTCTCGATAAAATTCCAGCAAGCTTATGCATCTAAAAAAATCTATTAAATTCGAATATTTATAAAAGTCAAATATTATATACGCTTGCGAACTTGACAATCAGCTGATTATCGATCGCTTGCAATTATGAGAATAAAATTATGAAGGACACAATTTCTGAAAAAAAATTTCCTGCAGTCTCGATAAAATTCCAGGATTTTAATGTAAAAAAATCCTCGATTTTTCCAAGGAAGCACCCTGTAAAGGGACGATATTTTGTGTTCAGCGACACGTAGGATCTCGCAGACTCCGAAGGACGATTCGATGCCGAGCTGCGCTCTTTTGCACACGGCGATCTGTCCACCTGTCTTCAGCACCGGGGCCGGGATTGCCGGCATCATCGGCCAGACGACATCGCCGTTCGCGTCCAGCGACTCGCTGACGAATGACGTCACCAGGGACCACAGCGACGGGATATGGAACGAGTCGCAGGCGACGGTTCTCCAGGCCGACTCGCTAGCTTTATTAACGCCGTCCTCGAGAAGGAGGCATCTCCTGCTGCTGCAGCATCAGCAACGCTCCTCGATGGACACCGAGGCTCTCGACGTCGAAGACGAGATAGAGCCTTGTCCTCCGAGTCCTAGGATACGTCTGGAACCGGCCACCCCGGTACAACCCCTTGCACCAAGGTAGGCAACACCGAGTTATTATTATTATTATTTTTTTTTTTGGAAGAGTTATGATCGAGAGAGTAGTTAGATAAAGTCACGAAGCAAAATGAAAATTCCGATTGCAAGATGTTAGATGAGATTTTCGTATCGGCGCTCTGTGTATTGCTTTATTCATAGAAGGTACTTTTTGCAGACGTCATTACAGAACAATACAAGATCTGTTACCGGTACAGTTTCAACAAATTTACTACAATGATGTACCCGCAACAGCACATATTTATGCCTACGATATGTAAGATTATAACGTATTTTGACCCGATACTTATAGTAGTACTCCCCCCATTTTGAGTATCTTATGATAAATCTTTGCAACATTTCTAGATGTCTTTCTTTGAAAAAAAGTCAAAATTCTGTTAATTATATCGAAAATCTAAAAATAGGCTGGACATAATTTACATCTGCCTTTGTTTCTACAACCAGAAATTCGGTATAATTAATAGAATTAAATAAATAGTTTAATAATTAGAAGTGGCTTTATCCTAAAAAAAAATATATATAATTTCTGATACGTTTCATAGAACTAAAAACATTTTAACAATTAACACTCAAAGTGTTAAAAATAAAAAAATATTTTTTTTATTGAAAAATTAATTTTTTTTAAATTTATACGTGCATAATTTTTTCGCTACTCTTTTATTGGAAATTCTAACTTGAGAAATTTTATGAAAAAGTATTAGGGTTTATCGATTTCGAATAAATTAAAATTATGAGAATGTAAAGTTGGCATTTTTTAGATTTTTATCTTTTACAAATTTATTTCTTATATTTCGAAACATTGATTAATCGGTGATTAATTTAATTGGGGTAGATATAGAAGAATTTTTAAATAATTTTTAATTATATAATTTATATTAATCTTTCTTTTTTGCATTAATAAACGATACAAAATTAATAATTCTATCCATATTAATAAAATAATATTAAGAAGATATAAATAATATTTGATAGATTAATCGCCGATTAAGATAATTAGCGTTTTATCAAAGCGGTTCTTAATCACCATAACTCATTTTGAGACGTATCAGAAATCGATATTTTTTCATGTCCTTCCATGTATATAAATATTAAGATGAGAGAGAGCATCCTGGAAAATATCCCACGAGATATTTTATGTCAAGAGATAAAAAAATAGAAATATAAAATATCTCGTAAAGTAAATTTGCATTTCTACGATTCGACGTTAATAATTCTATATGGAATAAAAAAAAGAATCGATTTACTATATACGAGAAATATACAATTCTGCTCAAATAAAAATGAGCAAAGCACCTGTCGTTATTGTAGAAAACTTGGCAGCGAGATACTCTGCTCTGTTGTTCTTTATAAAGAACAACAAATTTGAAATCTCCAAAAGAGACAAGTTACTCGCTATATCTAATAATAATTTCCGAGAAAACATCGATTGTAACATTTTACATGATACACACTATGTACATAAACACGCTGACCCTTCTCTGTTTATTTGGATTTTATTTATAGCTCATACCTCAATTTTTTATTATTTCGTACATCATAAAACACTCGAGTTACAATTTTATCCCATAATAATCATCCCAGAACCGCGCGCAATGAATATCTTTTTTTACGATTTTTTTATCAACGAAGAGAGCTCGAACCAACATCATCATTACATTATTACACATAATTTCTTCCTCCGGTGCTTCATCAAAGCATTCATTGTACATATTATCTCCCTGAATATTAAAGTCAAAATACTGCTTCTCTCCCTAGGCCTCCCTTTGTCTACCCGTAATAGGATCTCCTTATTAAAAAAAAATCTCTTCCCCTGCAGTCTCGAGTCGTCTATTTCCGCGAGCAACGGCCGGCCCAGAAGCGGATTACGTCGCGCGAGTCCAGGCCCGCCCTTGTCCCAACCCCAGTCGCAGTCGTCGAGCGAGTTCGGCTTGAGCCTGGCGAGGACCGACTCGGGCGGACGCACCAACACCGACCTTTCCGAGACCTCCGAGGATTACGTCACTGCCAATACTTCTACGGAAACCGGGACCACCACTGGCACGTCCGCCACGACCAGCTCCTGGTCGAGGCCGCCGCAGACGTCCAGCGCCGCGGCTTCGGCGGCTTCTGCGCCCGCTTCGACCACTGCGACCGCCGCCGAGGGCAGCTCCTTCGAGAGCGCCAGCTCGATCTACAGCCTGGCGAGGAGCGAGGTGAGTCCGCTTCAGGATGATTTGCATTTTTAAGAGATGATTTTTGGTCAAAAGTTAAATACGATTTTTTTCGCACAGGGTTCCAGAGGAAATTGCCGAAACTAATCAGCTGTCATTTTTTAATGCATGCAGTTTTTTGAGAAAACGAAAATTGTGTTGGAAAGAGGAAAGTCTGCAGTTTTATTCAATAACTGCTTGCATTAAAAAAAATGACAGCTGATTAGTTTCAGCAATTTCCTATGCTTTGCAATTTTTAAGAGATGATTTTTGGTCAAAAGTTAAATACGATTTTTTTCGCACAGGGTTCCAGAGGAAATTGCCGAAACTAATCAGCTGTTATTTTTTAATGCATGTAGTTATTGAGAAAAGAAAAATTGTGTTGGAAAGAGGAAAGTCTGCAGTTTTATTCAATAACTGCTTGCATTAAAAAAAATGACAGCTCATTAGTTTCAGCAATTTCCTATGGGACACCCCTGTACAAACATATATATGTATATATTCCTCCCTGGGAAGTTAAAGTCCTCCAAGGAAGATTTTTTCTCAAATTTTGGACAAGTTAGAAAAATGAAATTTGGTGAACATTTTTTACTAATAAAAAAAAGGATACCTATTATTAATATTTTTTTAATTCTCTTGTATTGTTCTATGCGGGTAAAATTAGCAATCTCTATTCAATTTTTTATTAGAAATAATAGATGATTTTTTTAGTGAAACTAGCAACCTCTATTCAATTTTTTATTAGAAATAATAGATGATTTTTTTGGTCAAAAATTAAGGAGCGTTTTTCATAAATATATATTTCTCCCTAGGAAGTTCAACTCCTGGAGGTGAGAATTTTAAACTTTTATTTTTTTAATTTTGGATAAGTTAGAAAAATAAAATTGGTGAAAATTTTCTATTAGTAAAACAAGGATATTTATTAATATGTTTTTAATTATAGCAACCCCTATTCAATTTTTATTAGAACAGATGATTTTTTGTCAAAAATTAATGAGGGTCTTTCATAAACAAACATATATACCTCCCTGGGAAGTTAAATTCCTCCAAAGGGTAGATGAAAATTTTAGATTTTTGGACAAATTAAAAAATGAAGTTTCATGAACATTTTCTACTAATAAAAAAGGATACTTATTATTAATATTTTAAAATTTTTCTATATTGTTCTAGGGGGATAAAAACTAGCAATCCATATTGAATTTTTATTAGAACTCTTTAACAGGTCGGAATGTGATCATCTAAAAATACGCGTTAGAAAGCTTTTGGTTTCTTTAGAAACTTTTTTATTTCTTTTATTTTTTTCGTAAAATTAATAGTTTGTAAGACAAAATTAAAATACATTATTATGCACAGCTAGATATTAAAGATATATTAAATAGCAGCACCAGGTTTCGAGTTACGAAAAATTGAATTTTAGAATAAAAAAGTAAGTAAAAATTATAATAAAATTATAATAATGTTGGAAAAAACAAAATAGAAACAAAATTTGGAAGATAATTCTTTAGGGAGAGATATAGGAATATATGTTTATGTAAAAGATGCCCCTTTAATTTTCGACAAAGAATCGTCTTCTAAAAATTTTTGCACTTATTTAGAATCACTCTGTATATTCGATCTGATCGTTATTCGAATATTACATCGTTTTAGAATGAATTTCTAAAATGTTTCGTCTTTTTATCTCTTACAATTTACTTCAATCTAACTTCTTATCTTTTAGAAATTGTAGAAAACGTTCGATTTAAGCACGTGTAGTCTTCTCCATTTTTATCGTTGATCTAAATTTACATTTATTGATTATCCCTAAGTTAATTTGCTTAAAATTAACTCTTCTATCAATGCATAATTTTTCACCTCTTTATCAATGTATGGGTAGCAGTTTTGCATATATAAAGAGATAACTTGCAATTTCCTTCGATTTTCTTAGCAAATTTAATTTTCTTCTAGAAAAAGTCACGAACGTTCGATTTTAGACTTTGTAATCTTCTCTCAATTTATATCGTTAATCTAAATTTACGTCAATTTATTATTCCTAAGTTAATTGGCTCGAATTTTTTATTGTAGTATTCAATCATGATTTTTCAACTTTCCATTAATGTATAAATATCTGGATATTAACTACGTATTTTCGACACATAGCAGCGTGACATTTTTTTTACAACAATTGATGGGCATCAAACATTCTTTCCCATTATATTTTAGCATTTCCGAATGCGAAGGCTCTTTATATTTTTTTTAGCGGAAAAAAGTTTTGACACATTTTTAATATTTAAAATTGCTTTGAGTCCCAGCTTATTGACAAAAGAATTAATAGAAGCTTGAAGAAAAGTTTGATGGATACATTGTATTTTTTCGTCATCAGGCCGTTGTCGAGGAGCCGTGTAGTCCGCCGCCGATTTTAGAGGAAGCGGAAGTCGCGTTCGGATTAGAACTACCTCCGCCGGCGATGAGGTCCAGCAGCAGCAGCAGCTCGGGTAGCTACGATCTAAAGGACGCGATGGCGGATCCGAATCACGATCTCGAGCAAGTCGCTCCAACCAGCGGCCATGCTTCAGAGACTGAAGACCGCGATGTAAGTTTTCTAACGCATATTTTTGCACTGAAAAAAAATTATTCGAATAAATACTTATTTCAATATTGCCTAATAAATCATTTATTTGAAACTAATAATATTGATTTGATGTGAAAAATATTTATTCGATATAAGAAAGTCCTTTTTAAAACAGATAAATATTTATTTGTTTCAAATAAATGATTTATTAGGCAATATTGAAATAAATATTTATTGATTTAATAATTTTTTTCGGTGTAAATAATCACATTTCGATCTGTCAAAAAGTTCTGATAAAAAATTGAATAGTGGTTGCTAGTTTGCCCATAAAACAATACAGGAGAATTAAAAAATATTAATAATATATATCCTTTTTTTTTACTAATATAGAAAATGTTCGCCAAATTTTATTTTTAATTTGTCCAAAATTTGAGAAGAAAATAAAAATCTAAATTTTTTTCCCGCTCTTTGGAGAAGTTCAACTTCTCAGAGAGGAATATATGTATATGTTTGTGAAAGACCTTCCTTAAATTTTTGTTTGAAAAATTACAGAAACTGTTCTTGCAAATTTACGAATATAATTCAAACGTCAAATAACAGTATTTATTTTCCACGTCAAATTCCACGTTGAATAGACTCGGTTAAAAAAACAAGTCTCCCTAGGAGTAAAAAATTATTTTTAAAAAATGTCTCTCTAGGAATCAAAATTTTATTCTATTCTTCCCTTCATAGGAGGGTCACCGATCGTCATCCGGAGGTTACGCCGAGTCTCCGCCCGAAGTTCGCATGTGGAGCGAAGAGGAGCGTCGTCGGAAGAAGAAGACCTTCAGCCTGGACTTCCTCGGGGCCGGGCCGAACAACGTCGAGCTGGAGCACAGCGTGGAGCCGACGTATCCGGAGAACGTCGAGGTCAGTCCGACGCCGAGTCATCGTCATCGATCCCGAAGCAAGCCAACGGCTCGAAGTCCCCATCGAAACAACAGAAAGCGAGATGCGATGCAACAGTCGGCGCAGCAACAACAGCAACAGCAGCAACAACAGCAGCAGCAGCAACAGCAGGCGCTCAGCAGAAGTCCTCAGAAGGAAGAATGGAGGGTCGAACAAGTCGAAGACGGTGCTCACGCGCCGACGTCCGATGATTCCAGCTGCAGTCATCATTATCATATGCATCACCATCATCATCATCATGTGCATCCGCGGGATGCTGCGGAGAGTGGAAGGCATCGAAGGACCAGGGAAAGCCCGAGGAGGAAGACGAGTAATTACCTCTCTATTAGAAGACGTAGCAATGAGGTAAGCATTTGTTTTCTTTATTTGGTGTTATTGAGAAAAAGGGAAAGGAGACAAATAAATTTACTGTATGTTTTACAATTTATCTGGTCTCTGTGTTTGATCTCTTACTTATTTGTACAATGAATCAAAGAGCTTCTACGAAGATAAATGTTGAACGATAATAAAGATGTATTTCGCTAGCATTTCAGTATTTTATTAAAGAACTATAACAGAGAATTTCAATAAATATATATTCAACAAAACATATTATTTAATAGGATTTTTTTATATCGTTTTTATTTAAAAATATATTTATAATATAATATTTTATTTTTTATATATTTTTCATATAAGTATATACATATATATATATATATATATTATTTATAAAAATTTAGAAAAATATGTTAAAATTTTATTAAAAAAAATAAATATATAATATATATATATATATATATATATATATTTAATAAATATATAAAAAATAAAGAAATTAAATATATAAATATATGTTTTAAATAAAAACGATATAAGAAAAATCCTTATATTTTTCGATTCGCTGGACCGCCGTAATCCCTGAATTATAAAATGATTAATACAAGTTGTTGAACAAAAAATCGGGTTGCAGGACAAGAACGCGGCGTTGACGGGCAGTCTGCCGCGAAGGAAGTCGCGCCTCGCGGACGACATAGTTTGCGCGACTCGTCTGAGTCCGGGTCGTTACCAGCGAAGTCCAGGGCACAATGGTCAGCGGGCGCTCGTCGTGGAGACGCAGAGCCCGGAGGCGAGGCTGAAAGCCGTGTCCGCGGAATCCTTGAGATCCGTCAGCCCCGGAAGCGACAGCGTTTTCTACAGCGAGAGCGCCGACCAGCCTCTCGTCTCCGCGGCGGCTGTCGCCGCTTTGGACGCCGCGCACTGTCACCATTGCGGCAGAGAGGTGATATATTATTATACTTATCGATGCACATCATCTCGCAAGTCCCTCCCGCATACATTCACCCTTCTGTCGACGCCTGTCGTTCTTCGCACTCTTCCATCGATGGGTATCCGGGGGTACCATCTGTTTGCGACACGATTCCTTTGCAACAGCTGATGGACGTCGAATATGTTTCTATATTCGAGGATGTTTCCGAATAAAGGTCCTTCGTATTTTTTTTCGGCGAAAAAAAATTCCAATACATTTAAAGTTGCTTTCGGTACCCATTCGTTGACAGAAGGATTAAATCCTTTACTCTCATAATCTCTTAAAATGTTCGGTGAATCTGCTTAAAAAAGCTTTGTTTTTATATGATTTTTAATTGTTCTTTTGACGGATGGAATAAATATTTAATTAATATGTTAATATGATTAAAAAATGTATTATAAGAATATTGGATTAGTTGATACTTTGAGAGAGATTTTGTGCGCAAAGGGTTTGATGACATTTCTATCATATCCATTTACGATTTCATTCATTATTTCATGAGATACTTAAAATCTTTTTTTATTAAGAGAACAAGCGTAGATCGCATCTAATTTTTCTGCAGCTTTATCGTAGTTTTAAATTAGACTTCATTGCGAGTAAAAGATGGCGAATTATACTAAAACTGCAACTTTCTAAAAATTAATATCTAGTAATCAAGAAGAATTATTACAGTTATTTTTTATTATTATTTTCTTAAGGTTTTGCTATTTAGAAAGAGTCTCGTAGAGTAAATCCTCTGAATAATTGCCTTCATCCTCTTCTTTTTAAAAATAGCATTTATCTCTTGTAGTTTGCTTTTACTAGCAGTTAGAAAAGCAACTTGCTCTCCTTTTTTTTATGCTTGATATATCAATATGCGTTGTGTGAATGAATATATAGACTTATAGACGTTCTGAAGTGAAAACTGAATTTCAATATTTATCAAATATATTTTCTCCTAAAATTTTTATCCATTTTTGAGAAAAAGAAAATTATAGATAAAATATTAAAAATTAAAAATGCTTTTAAAACTCGCATCTAAATAATTCCGAACGGTAGAAAATTTTTATTATAGTATAAATATCTATAGATACATAATAGATTATTTTTCTTCCGCTTCACGTTTAATCCGATTAAATAAAAAAAATTGAGCTATCTCAAACAATTCAGTTGTAATGAAAAAATAAAAAAAAAAAGATGCAGATTGGAAGCTATATTAGATCAGAGAGCGTTAAAATAAATAAGATTTATTCCAAGCATCAGAATTTTTCCCGAGGCAAATTGGAAATGACATAGTCTTATTGATTTTTTCATCAAATGAATGTCCACAAAGAACAAAGAACACGAGATGTATAATAGGAATGCAAAGTAGATTCTTCTTTCGATCTATTTCGATCTGTCCATCTGTCTGCCTTCTTTCTCTATCGTGTGTGCCCTCCTGTTGCTTCAATCCCGAGGTGTCGGAAGAGATCGTTCGACCACCGGCAGGTTTTGCGGATTCCCCGGAAGGACACAGAACATCCTCCAAGCACGTTACAGGGCACCGGCTGTACAAGAAGTTCGACAAGAGGTACAGATCGGAAGATCGAGGAGATCGCAGGCATCGGCGCAGCAGTGCCGGTAGATCGGAAATTCGGGCAAAATCGGAGGAGAGAACCACCTCTCGATCGGGAAGCAGAGGTTCGATCGACGACGCTGGCAGAAGAAGGCTGCAAGCTCGAAGCACCGATGTCAGCATGGAGATTCTCACGGGTGAATTTTATTTATGCACGAATTATATATAATAAATATATAATCACGTTAAATTAATTATAAAAATATTATATTTAATAATTATTTTGATAATGAATTTTATTTAATTTATTTTAATATATATTTATATAATTAAATTTAATATGTTTAATCATGTGTGAATAGTAAAGCGAGAGTCGAGAAAAAAAATACGAATCACTCGTTTGTCGTATTTATCATATTAATTTTTTGGAGAGTAAAATTAATGCTCTATTTCTTCTTTCGTTCCAAGGAAAATTAGAATAAAGTAGCGTCATTATATATATGTGCAGAAATAAATATATTTCATCGAACATATTTATTAATTCGTCTCTTTTCTCTAAATGACAGGACGAGAAGACGAAGACACTTATGTGGAACCGTACACGAGCAGCGAATGGATTTATATCGGAGAGCTCGAAGAGAGTCACGTGTGGAGGAGACCCGACAGCAGAGACGGCGACGACGACATTACGGACACTAAAGACAGACGGGACTCTCAAGAATCCACGGAGAGCGAGAAGAATTTTAAGAAGAGGTATCAAGCGGCCACGCACAGGATGGTGCATCGAAAGAGCAGCGGTGAGATGTACAAGAGGATACAAACCAAAAGTTTTGGTGAGTCACAAACAGCGCTATTTTTATCTGACACTCAACAACATTTTGTCGCTTTAAAATTAGTCGCGTAATCATTTTTTAATTATTATACCATTTTCGCGATTTTTCATCCAATTGTATATATAGTTTTATTATTTGAAATATACAAACTTTTGCAGAGAAAAATTACAAAAGTCTAATTAAAAATAATTTAAAAGTAAATATATATATATATATAGAAAGAGTTTATAGTTAAAAAATTTATTACAAAAATAAAAAAAATATCAATAAAATATTTTAGACTAAATAAAATATGAAAAAAAATAAAAAAATAAAATAAAAATAAAAATTTTTATAAAATTCTAGCTATATAATTTAAAAAATTCGATAAGTTGCTTTTCCGATTTTAATCTTTCTAAATGCAAAGTGCATTAGCCGCGTCTAACAGCGTTATCGCGATTCTCGATCATATTTTCATCAATGCAGCTCTTCTATAAATGCTCATGTTTATGCAGAAGTCTAAACCACATTCTAAAATTTCATCTCCGCATTATAAAATCATCCGGTATAAACATCCGACCCGCAGCAGCACACAAACGAGCCGCTTTAATGTCGATTTGCACATCACCGAAGAATGTTCTTAACTCGTCTCGCGAAGGCATCCTGCGTTGGATCTGCCGACAAAGGGGGAGAGTGTTGGAGTTCGCGAGTAAACGAGGGTGAGATAAAGAAAGAGAGGGAGAAGCGGAGCGAAGGCAAAAGAGAGTGTCTGGAATGTCGCGAAATAGCGCGAAGAGATAGATAAACAAATAGATCGGAGTCAGGCAGCGTGAAAATAAATAAGATTTATTTCGAGGAAAAATTTTCCCCGAGAAAATCAGAAATTTTATATATAGAAAAATATGTGCCTGAGTGAAAAATATTTTTATGAAAATAAAGATTTATTTTATACTTATAAAAAAAAAATAATAATAAATTGAAAAAGGTTCTGATATATAAATACAAAATCAGATGTGAAAAGGGCTAATAAGATAAAATTAAATTCTTCTCTAAATTATATTAACAAAATAAAAATTTCATTCTATTATCTACTTTTATTTTGTTAATAATAAAAATTTAATTATTTTTTTTCACCGAATTTTGTATTTATAAAAAACTGTATAATCGTTCTAATAATAAACTGTCATAAATATTCAAGAATATCTAAATTATGAAAAAAAAGTAAGAGAAAGAGAGGAAAATCATAAATTTTATATAGGTATAAAAAAACATCTCTGACAATGAGTGAGAAATACAATATTTTTACAAAAATAAAGATAATAAATTTATGCATTATAAAAGAAATTATAATATAAAATTGAAAAGTGCTCTGATGTTATAAATACAAAATCAGGTGTGAAAAAATTAAGGCTAGATAAAATTAAATTCTTCTCTAATTATTAACAAAATAAAATTTTTAATTCTATTATTTTCATTTTGTTAATAATGAAAATTGAATTGAATTTTATTTTTATACCAGATTTTGTATTTATAAAAAAACTGTATAATCGCTAATAATAAACTGTCATGAATATTCAAGAATATTCAAATTGCGAAGAGAGAGTAAGAGAAAGAGAGAGATTAAGAGGACAAGAAAGGGAGAAAAAAAGAGAATCGGGTCATATGATGCAAGAGGGAAAAAATGCGGGTAAATAGAGAGAAAGAGACAGAAGAGAGGATGTTTCTTCCCGATTCTTTAAATAAGCACGGCGTAATACTCGGTCTAAATATAATCCACCCGACGAGCAGAGGCCGACGTCGAGGCGAGACGTCAAGAGTCCGACTTCGAAAGCGGAGAGTCTCGGAGGGACCAAAGCGATCTAACGCGTAATGAGGAGATCCGACGACGTGGGGTGAAAGAGGGGTGGAAGAAGGTGCGTGACTCGAAGAAGGAGCTTTTGGCAGCCCAGTCAGTGGGTCAGGGCGCCGAGACGCATTCCACGCGACTCGAGGCGTCTTCGTGAATTTGTCGTTTCCGCCGCGCGAGTTCATCCTCCTCGACCGACAGGAGGGTTGGATTCTCCCGGATTATGCTGACGCGCGATATCGAAGAAGTAGAAGTGACGGAGTAATCTTTTCTCTCTCTCTTTCTTTTTTTTTTTTTAATAATTTAACGAACGACGATGGTGTGCAATTCCGCGAGTTCCGAGTGCGCGATGAAGGTGGACGGAGACGTGACGTTGAAGCAATCTCTGGAGGAGCTGCTGAAATGCATGCTCAGGGTTTGGTGCAGAGAGAGTCAGGCTCTGGCGAGGTTTGGCGCGTCGACGACAGGTAAAGAGAAGCTGAAGGGTTTCCGAAAATAAAAATGACGATTGCATCAATATCGATTATAATAAATGGCAATTAATATATCAATGAAAGTTAATGTACTTCAAATTTTTGTAGTTGAGATATTTCGCACAAATTATGTCACTTTTTCATGTTTATTAGGTATTTTTTCAATTTTTACTTTAAATTTTCGAAATTGACATTTCGTACAAATTATACTGTTTTTCTATTCCTTTTATAATTGTTCTTATTAATAATTTTTAATTTTATTTAATATTTATATTTTTAAAATATTTATTTTCATTACCTCTTATATTATTTAATTAAATTAAAAATATTAATTACTTACTAATAACAATCATCTACAAATTGAAAGAAATTGTTACCTTAACTAAACTTTTCAACTAAATATTTTGTTAATTGAACTTATAAAAAATTTAAGTTAAATATAACATATTAAATCTAACAAAATTTATATATGACTTAAATATTAATATATCTCAATTAACAAAATAGTAATTTAGTTGAAAGATAATATTCACTTTATTCATTACTTATAAATTATTTAAACTTATAATTTTATCTTATTTTACCTCAATTTATTTAATATTAAATTTTCTACTTAATTCCGATTTAACTCCTAAATTTTAATTTAATTTAATATTTAATTTTCTCTCTCTTAATTTACTTAAAAATAAATAAGCTAAATTAAGCTTTTAGGTTCATACAGAATATAGAAATTTCTGAATATAGAATTCTTCTCAACTTTCTCTTATTTAATTTTCTTCTAATTCACTTTCTTGACTTTCTAATCTCCTTTCAACATGTACAATCTCCTTTAAATTATATTAAGATTTATTATATGATACTTACATCTATATATTTAAATACAAATCTACAAAATATTTTATTTACACTAGGAAATATTTTCTATAAAGCGATGCAATAAGCTTTTCATATATTTATACGTAAAGACGCATTTTGAGGAGAGATACATATTCTCCCATAATATAATATTATTTCGAAAGTTAACTCTTTGATCTCATGATCCTTAATTGCAATATCGCGAGAACTTTACTCTAGAGACAGTTATTATCGCTTATAGAGGTTACGGGGATAATGTCATTCCCTCTGTATTCATGGTTTGATTTCTATTCATGAAACACCGCGCACGGCGCCAAATTAACGACGACATAAATAACCGTAGCGAAGATACGAGGGTATCTGTATCTCGACACAAAGATATCGGAAGGTATACGCACTCGAGTGTCGACAATCGAATGTCGGCCAAGAATCGTTAAGATGCGGCCTGAATGTCTTAATGAGACTATGCACCTGCCCTCATCAGACGCGCGCATCTGCGTACATCATCGTCTCGCGTAATAAAATAGAGGTAATTCTAAATGAGTGCACAAAAATTTAAAAGATCATTCTTTGTCGAAAATTAAAGAGACTCTTTCATATAAACATATTCCTCCTCGAAAAATTATACTCTTCTTCGAAGGATGTGGAAATTAGGTTTTTATTTTTTTTTCAAATTTTTTTTTTCAACATCTACTATAATTTTATATATATTTTGCTTCTTTTTTTTATTATAAAATTCAACTTCTCGTAACTCGAAACCTACGTCATTTAGCATCCTGCTGAGCATGATAATGTGTTTTAATTTTTTTCTTGCAAACTATTGATTTTACGAAGCAAATTAAAGAAATGAAAAAGTTTCTAAAGAAATCAAGCTTTCTAATAAATATTTTTAGATGATAATATTCTGATTAATTAAAAAGTTGTAATAAAAAGTTGAATAGAGATTGCTGTTTCATCCCCATATAACAATATGGATTTAAAAAATATTAACAAGTATATAATAGCATTCTTTTCACTAGCAGAAAATGTCCACCAAATTTCATATTTTAATTTGTCTAAAATTTAAGAAAAAAATTAAATCCTAATTTTCACTCTCTCTTAAGAAATACGTTTATATGAAAAACCCCCCTGAATTTTTGACAAGGAATCATCTAAAACTTTGTCGCACTTATTCAGGATCACCCTCTATATATTTCATTGATGAAACGTGATGTTATTGATATTTATTGGTTCTGCAATGTTTTTTTTTATATCGCGTTTAAATGGATCAGAGAATCCATCTCGATGAGACACACGTACAGTGAACCTGGATTATAAAAGACATACACATGCATACATATATATTTCTACCGTATCTATGTATATCCCATGCAATGTGCTTATATCTATGAACTTCGCTTGCACGATAAAGTCGCGCTCTTTTTCCAGCGTCTTTCACGTTCATGATCAAAGCGAGGACTAAAACGGGGCGGTGCAAAAATAAATAAATAAAAGCCGGCCGGTGGATGACGACGAGTCACACCACCGGCTCTGTGTAACGAGGGGAAAAGTGACTCTAGGCTCGAAATATGCTCGATTACGTTTGTAGCGCAAGCGCATCTTTTTGCGTGTGTGTGCCATGATCCATTTTTTCTTCCTCTTCTTCTTCCTCTTCTTCGTCTTCTTCCGCCTCGGCCGATCTAGAGCAGCGGCCCGCTTGGACGGTTTAATCACGCCGCCGCGTCGTGCAACTATTCTCGTGGTCGCTCGCGATCGCTCGATACCTCGCACACGTGGCCTGGCCGCACGTAGGCTTAACAATTTACCACTTCGCGCATATACGATTCTCTTTTTGCTCGTGTATCAAATGCTCTCCTCCCGTCTAAATATAATCCATCCGGCGGGACGGATTTGCATATTAAATGCTCGTAAGGGAGAATTATTAAGCACATTGAATGTCTTCCACTTCGACGTACGAAATCGTGAAAATATTTCTGTCAATATTTATATGGACAAATGTATATGAAAATAAATTGAATATAATAAATATATTATTTATTTATAAATAATAAACATATTTTTTTCTATTTTTATATAAGAATATTTTATTAAAATATTTACATATTAATTATAGTAATATATATATGTGTAATAATATATTTGTAAATAAAAATCATAAAACATTTTTTAATTTATTGATATTTAATGTAAAATATTTTTAATTATTCTTAAATTAATCGAAACTATTTTGTTAACATAGACATAAATTTATATGAAAACTTGTAATATAATAAGTATATATGTATTTCTAAATGAAATTTTATTATATAGGTATTTTTCTTATTAGAAAAAAATATATAAAATATGATAATATATATCTATATTATAATATATTTTATAAAAAAGTATTTTTTTAATTATTTATATTTAATATTAAATATTTTAAATCATTCGCCATAATAAATGTATACACTCACTCCAAAAAAGCGGTACACTTAAAATTTGGAAAAGTCACCAAATTTCAAATGACGATAACTTCGTAAATAATAAAGATAGAAAGATTTCTAAAATATGAAAATAAAGCTTGGAATCTCCACTTTAAAAATCTATTCATTTCAATGTTGCGAGATAAATTTATTAAAAATGGCGGATGACAATACGAAAATATGCAAAATTGAAAAATAATATCCGAGTTTGCCAAGGCATATGATGTAAGTCAAATGTCACAACTTAACGAGATAAAAGCATATGATAGTATAGAATCTCCCCTTTAAAATGCTTTTTTATTCATCTCAATACGATGATTTTTTGCCGAGTTATTCGCATTTAAAAAAAAAAGCTGCTTTTTTATTGAAATGCGAATAACTCGGTGAAAAATCATCGTATCGAGATGAATAAAAAAGCATTTTAAAGGGGAGATTCTATACTATCATATACTTTTATCCCATTGAGTTGCGATATTTGACTTACATCATATGCCTTGGCAAACTCGAACATTATTTTTCAATTTTGCATATTCTCGTATTGTCATCCGCCATTTTTAACAAATTTATCTCGCAACATTGAAATAAATAGATTCTTAAAGTAGAAATTCCAAACTTTATATTCATTTTTTAGAAACCTTCCTATCTTTATTATTTACAAAGTTATCATCATTTGAAATTTGGTAACTTTTAAATTTTAAGTAAACCGCTTCTTTTGGAGTAAGTGTACGCATTTAAAGCAACATTTTAGAAAATGCATTAAATAAATTTTTAAAAAATTTGAATATTAAATTTAATGTTAATTAGAGAGCGACAAGAGGGTGGTCGTGAAACGCGAGGCTGGCGGGGAATTCGGATTCCGCATTCACGGTTCCAAACCGGTGGTGGTCTCCGCGATCGAGCCGGATACGCCCGCGGAGAGTTCCGGTCTCGAGGTAGGCGACATCATCATGTCGGTGAACGGCAGAAGCGTCATGGACGCCACTCATTCGGAAGTCGTGAGACTCGCGCACTCCGGCACAGACGTCCTGGAACTCGAAGTTGCGAGGACCTGCAATGTGTTGGCACCCCGTATTGCTCGTTCGGGGGCGAAAGAAAGCTCCGACGAGATACCCATGTGCACGGGATATCTCTGGAGAAAGTCTACGTCGTCAAGCACGGAAAAATGGGTGCGCAGATGGTTCGCTCTTCGTCGTGACAACTGCCTGTATTGCTACAAGACTGACTCGGTGAGTAAATGTTATTAATATAAAAGAACAACTTTTGAATTCGCGATGGATTTGTTTGGATAGTAAGGGTTGGAAAAAATCCAAGTCTTTTTCTTCTGCCTAAAAACTTTATATTTTTTGTAATAATAATATATTTTAATACTATAATAAAAAATATATATTATATATTATTAAAAATTATGAGGAAAAGAGAAATTTAAAAGCAAATAATTATAAAATTATTATAAAAAGAATATTGAAGAAGTATACATATTTAGAAATAAAAATTTAGAAATAAGAGAAATGCACAGACAAGGAGAAATTGATGTAGCTTGGAAAATTCGAGGTAAAAATTCAGAACTGTTTGTGTACAAGCCGAGAGATGTACTTAAGATATACTTATCGCAACACACAGGATTCGCAACCGGTGGGCGCGGTGATGCTCCTCAAGTACGACGTGGAGCAGACGCCTGAATTGAGAGTGCACAGTTTCGCGATAAAGAAACAAGGCGCACCGACGTTACGACTGGCAGCTGATACCGAAGAGGCGGCAGCACGATGGACGATAGTCATACGCGAAGCAGTCGAGAGGAACAATCAGGTACGCAAAGTTGTTCTTTGAAAATATATTGAAAGCTATATAAAGGATTTTCATGTACGAATTTATTTTTCTTTTTATCGTAACGTTTCTCAGAATTTTCGTTCACCAAACTAATTTACACACAAGAAAAACAAGATGACCTTTATATGACCTTTAGGAGTCAACCTGACCCCACACGTTACCTTATGTTTTTAACGTGAAATTTCCTCTATCGATTTCCGATGTCAAAAATAGGTCATTCCATTTGAAAAACTAAAGTTAATTTTGAAGAAACCTTGAACAAGGTCATCTACGATCAACTCAAGGTCACCATCGGATGTCCCTCTAAAAACCTTTGTCTAAAACATTTTTTTCATTTGTACTATACCTTTTGCGATGATAACCAGGGTACATAATTAAAATGGAACGCCCTGTATAAAATATTTGATGGCTCGATGCTTCTTCCAAGATTGACACTTGGCTGGACTCGTCGCTGAGGATGAGAGAGATGGCCGCCTGCGCTATCGCGAGGCCGGACTGCTTCGGTTATCTGAGCAAGCAGCAGGAACACGCGCGAAAGACGTCCTCGCCCACCGGCTGGTCCAGACGGTATTGCGTGCTGAAGGACGCCGCGTTATACTTCTACGATGACGCCAACGCCGAGAAGGCGTTCGGCGTGGCGTGTCTGCACGGCTTCAGGGTTCACAGCAGCGCGCCCAGCTCCGGCGGCCGGAAGCACGCTTTCGAGCTGCAGCCGCCGGATCCCACACAGAGAAGCTACATCTTTGCCACCGAGACGGAAATGGATAAGAAACGGTGAATAATAATAGAACTCGTTTACCCGCAAATTCCGATAGTAATTCCTACTCGTGGAAAAGGGAACATAAATTTAAAGGATTTAAAAAGAATGTTCAATAACTATAAATTATTTTAATTAAAATTTTACTAAGGGAGGATTAAGAGGATTTAAAATAATACCTCTCGTACAATAAATGATACTTTTTGTATGCGATTCTTTGTTCAATCCTCAACAAATTGAGGGGAATAATCGCCCCTTTACTCTTCATTAATATTAATTTTAATTTATTATCATAATACTGTTTAAATCAATATAAATTTTTACAAATATCTTTATTTTATTTTACATAAGCCGGAGCACAATTCATTAAACTCTCATTTGTCTTTATCAGATAAATCCTTTCCCCATCTTAATCCTACTTTATATATTTTTCTCTTTTATTATTATAAAAATTTGAGACATTTTAAATCTTTTAAATCCTTCTTAGTTAGTAAAATTTTGATTCATATAAAGATGTATAGAGTTATAAAATAATTTTTATAAAAAATTATTTACATTTATATTTTTCCTATTCTATATATATCTACTATAATCTAAATAAAGTAATCTTGAATTTTAAAGTATTCTTGATTTAGTTTATTTTGAAAAAATGTAAAAAAAAATAAAAATTTTCTATTAACTTATTAAACTTTAAAATTATTATCTTAAAAATTTTTCTTTCCTTCATTTAATTTAATTTTTACAAATTTAAATAATAATTATTATTAATATAAATTTCAATACAAAAATAAAAAATACATATATTACGTTATCATAAACAATCTATATGTTTATTAAAAATGACGAGTTTATCTTTTGGTTGGTTCTGGAAAACCTCGACGCTATTTTTCCAATATTTCTGTTTTGTTAAATTAAATTCTCTGAAAAATCAGTAATTAAATATTTGTATATGTGTGAAAGACGTAGCTTTTAATATTTATTTTATTTATTTGATATTGTTATTTATGGGAGCAGTCATATCCATATACACACACATATACATATGTGTGTGTGTATGTATAAATAAAATCTAGTATAATATAAAAAATTCAGAATTATTTACTTTTTAATTCAAAATTTGTATTTCAAATTTAAATATTCCTTTAACAAAATTGGTTATAATATTACTATAATATAAGACGCATCTTCTTTTAAATATTTGCAAATCTAAATTTTCAGCGAATTTTTTACAAGTTTAGAGAAGACACAGATTCTGTTATTATCTCTTTATATATGCAAAGCGTAACGCACACATAATCCTTTTTTTCACACGAATTAAATACAAATAATAATCTATCATTTCAGATGGTTGGCTGCCCTCGAGTATTCGATCGATCGATGGATCAAAATAGGTTGATGCAAAATAATCCGCCCTACGACGAATCCAACGAGTCGCAGTAGCGAAGATCGTCCATGGAGATCCTCTTCCGCACCTGTTTTCGGTTCCTAAATAAAACAAACAAACAAACAAGCAAACGCGAATCTGCCGATTGGTTATCTCGACGATCATCACACAAATACACACACAGATACACAAAAATACTTGGATGTTTCGCCAAGATCTTCATCTTTCAACATTATTGAACCTCATCATCGTGTCATCGATCATCATCATTGTAACTGCTGATTAACAGTGACGTTTACGTGAAGTTGTTCGAATAAAAGTCAATGCTACGGCAAACAGACTCGGCAACTTTTGTGTTCCATTTTCAGCTGATTGACTCGTCATCGTTGCTTATCTACCATCGGAATTGTTTATCAGCAGTAATGCAATTCCATATCGGGGCTAAAAACGATATAATCCTGAGCAGCGAGTTCGGTTCTCGATGCTACAGATATATATATAGTTTACCCTAGAGAACATGAGAACAATCGTATTTTTTCTCGTCGCGAATAAATGGCTCAGCACCATCGGAATCCAATATTGTCGAAAAGTTACACCGATTCCGAGATTTCCAGGATTAAATTTCCATTTTTGAAAAAAAAAAAAAAAAAAAAAAACTCATCGAACCCCTGAATAATGGGAAACTTTTCCCATCGAATAATGGGAAACTTTTCCCATTTCAATCCTACATCCTGTCCACATTGTACATGTTATCGCTGGATATGGCGCTTCGCTGAATCAAAACGTGTAAAAAAAAAGAGAGAAAAAAATTATGGACACTAAAAAATCGAATCTCCCGAGAGTTTTTTGTAATAACGAGACCCATAGTTCGACGATTCCCTGATACGTCTGCGAAAAACGAGGACTCTTCACGGTTGTGTTTGTCGCTGAAACTCTATACGCACATAAAGATAATTCTACGATTGCGAGGAGGGAATAAATTAAAAAAAAATATATATATATCTTTTTAAGAACGAGACGAAAACGAATTCTCGAATGTTCAATAAAATTGTATAAACGACGCGAGAAATCGATAGAAAGGAAAAAAAGTAGTTTAAAAACCCTTCGCCAGACACGCGCATGTGCATGCGTAGTTATGCGATAGTTATGCGTACGTGCATATTATGGAATTGCCATTAATTATATATGTAACGTTAATTCTTACCAACAACGCCAATATACATACTTGTAACAATCGAAGAAAAAAAATAAATAAATAGAAGGAAACACTCCGCGCGAAGGAGAGGAAAGATTCGATTTAATGAGAATTAAATTAAAGAGAGAAACGAAATAGTTGCGCGTCTGTGTGTCTGGAGAAAATATTATTGCGTGAATTCTCATGCATTTATCCGCGTGTGTACGATATATATGGAAATAAAAATCGAACATGTGCGCATTTCGCTGTCAGAAAATCGCGCGTAGAGAGGAAGCGCGAGCGGAGATCAGCGTATATACATTTTAACGAGAAGATATCCTACACCCTGGCACATCAGGTTCAGACCAATCTTGTTTGCTTCCACCGGTATATACAGGGTGTCCCAGAAATGCCGGTACACATTTTATGCATAATAAAATTTGAATTACCAAGAGACACGCGATGGATCCGTTAATGTCTTCTAATATATTATTATTATTATTATTATTATTATTATATATAGTTTATATATAAATTTATGTATATATATAAAATACACATATATTGTATAAAGAATTATATTATTAATATAATTATAAATATAATTACAAATATAATTAATTTAAAGAGGCAGAGACTTTTACTTTTAAGTTTGTTCTAAATTTCCTTTGAAGAAATTTTAATTTTCAAAAGTTTAGACAGCAAAATTTGTAATCGCAATTTTATTTTATGTTGTGAAAATTCAAAGGTGAAAAAATAGCTTCATGCTTCTTTAAAAAGAAAGTCAAGCCACAAATGATTTAAGCAAGTCGTTAAAATATGTACCGACGATTCAAAGAGGCGCCCTGTAATATAAAAGACCTTTTTATTTAAAACAAATTTCGTTCGGGATATATGTGTATAATAGTACCTACATAAATTATTATGAACTTATTTTTTCTTTTTTTAGAGACGATTTTATTAGCCTCGTATTGCGTTTTATTCGCGTCGATCGATAAAGAGAAAATTCTCGAGAACTAGTTGACAGTAAAATGACAGCGGTATGACAATGCGGGATTTTCAAAGTGTCAATCCCCATATGGAAGGAGTGATAGATAAAGGATTAAGGAAACGAGACAGGACGACACACGAAGAGAGCCAGTACAGGAAGAAGAACAAGGCATACATACCGACGATATCGTCGCTACAAAGTGCATACATTGTTTCATGGTCGGCGCATCGACCAGGGTTCGGTCGGAGAGCGATACGTTTAAAAAGAAAAGAAAAATTATGTAAATCGAAAAGAGCCCGGTCAACCGCTCAACAAATTTCGAATAAAATAGAAAGTTTAATATAATTTTCCGATACGAAACGTATATGTCATTTACCCACTTTTATTGAAAATCGATATTGATATTGAGTTTGCATCGATTTTTCACGATTTTTTTTTGAATTTTGACATTTTATGTTGATTATTATTATTTATTATATTGTATTTTAATTAAAAATATATTATTAATCGACAAATTTGATAAAAAATCATTTTGTATAGATTGAAAGGAATATAAATTATATTCTTTGATCGTAAGGGGTTCTTTAAGCACGTCACATTTTATATAAATAAATTATAATAGTTGCAAAGAAATTAAAAAATTATTTTTATAACTCTAACTATATATTTCTTAAAATTGTGACGTGACGGAACATTTCAAAATTCGGCATTAAAATGGGGAGCACTGCACCGTGAGAGAAATAATTAATTATTATTTATTATACTTATTTAATTATAAATATTTTATTAATTGACAAATTCGATAAAAATTCATTCTGTATAGGTTAAAGTAATATAAATTATATTCTTTGATCATTAAAATACATACTTGTCAAGTTTGATATATGAATAAATTATAATATACATTGAAACAGTTCGAAAAAAATGAGAGCCCTATTTTTATAACTCTAACTACATATTTCTTAAAATGGTGACGTAACGGAACATTTCAAAATTCGGCATTAAAATGGGAAGCACTGCACCGTGAGAGAAATAATTACTTATTATTTATTATACTTATTTAATTATAAATATTTTATTAATTGACAAATTCGATAAAAATTCATTCTGTATAGGTTAAAGTAATATAAATTATATTCTTTGATCATTAAAATACATACTTGTCAAGTTTGATATATAAATAAATTATAATATACATTAAAACAGTTCAAAAAAAATGCGAGCCTTATTTTTATAACTCTAACTACAATACATATTTCTTAAAATGGTGACGTGACGGAACATTTCAAAATTCGGCATTAAAATGGGAAGCACTGCACTGTGAGAGAAATAATTAATTATTATTTATTATACTTATTTAATTATAAATATTTTATTAATTGACAAATTCGATAAAAATTCATTCTGTATAAGTTCATCAAAGAATACAATTTATATTACTTTATTATCATTAAAATACATACTTGTCAAGTTTGATATATAAATAAATTATAATATACATTGAAACAGTTCGAAAAAAATGCGAGCCTTATTTTTATAACTCTAACTACATATTTCTTAAAATTGTAACGTGACGAAACATTTCAAAATTCGGCATTAAAATGGGAAGCACTGCACCGTGAGAGAAATAATTAATTATTATTTATTATACTTATTTAATTATAAATATTTTATTAATTGACAAATTCGATTGAAATTCATTCTGTATAGGTTAAAGTAATATAAATTATATTCTTTGATCATTAAAATACATACTTGTCAAGTTTGATATATAAATAAATTATAATATACATTGAAACAGTTCGAAAAAAATGCGAGTCTTATTTTTATAACTCTAACTACATATTTCTTAAAATTGTAACGTAACGAAACATTTCAAAATTCGGCATTAAAATCGGGAGCACTGCACCGTGAGAGAAATAGTGATTCTTCCCCTCTTATTCATCCGTATAATATTCTTAATCAAAATGCAGCGAACGCGAATCAAAGACCTCTGCATTTCGCGTGGAGAGAGAATCATCGTTCGGGAATGATGATTAAGACTCGACGCGATCGAGGGGCACGATCGATCGCGATGCACGATAATATCCGTACGGCGTTAACCGAGAAGGGAATAGCTGAAAAGCCACAGGAAGATCTCAATTACGATGATCGCAATGAAATATCGCGAGAGAAGGAGGGAGCAAGATAAATTCGGAGAACGGGCGCGTTGGCCGCTTCGTCCGCGGCTGCGGGCCCCTGGTATCCGTTTGATAGCAGATAGCAGGCCGAACGATCCTGGTATGTTCTCATTACGCGTCGTGTAGGTATGCGGTCTGGTCCCTCTCTTCCCTTCGCAGAAGAGCGTACCCTCTCCTGGAGGCTGAGCGAAGCTCTCTTTCTCGCTTCTTGGCTCCGCCGCGTCTCTTCAAGCTGGAATTTCCTGGGTATCTCACCACTTCTTCTTCCTACGCGACAGACGTAATCAGACGCAATGAAGAGAGAAATGACGGAATACTCTGTATTATTTCGAGTCCCCCAACTTCGAAATTCCATGGTGACTCTCTCCTTATGTAGCTCTGTGTCCTTCTTCACCTTCCAGTCTCTTCTCGTTTTGTCTCCCGGCGCGATGGTGATCTCCATGACGTTGCTGTGGGCATCTCTCGCTGTCATGGTGGTAGTGATGGTGGCGGCGGCAAGATTGTGATGGGGGAATGAATCGGCGAGGTGAGAGGAGAAGGAACTAGTTCAGTGAACAAAACGACGCGAGAGTGGGGCAGTCTTCGGGTACTCGTGTAAGAGAGAGAGAGAGAAGAGCTGTAACCCTGATAATATTCCATGCTCGCGACATACGCATAAGAGCTCCTTTAATTTTATATTAGGCTGCCGGATAACCAACCTTCTCTTTCTCTGGATCTCTCCGGCTGTCTCTGTCTGCAGACGAAGTTTAACGGGTTGCGGTGAAGGAACTCTCGCGACACGCATCGGACATCGCGATCATCAGCTTCGCTTTACGCTCGCAATCGTGTTACAAATGTTGAAGACCCGAGTCCACCGGACGGATATTTTGTTTTTGCATGACGCGGCGCATTTTTTTTCCTGCACATCGGGTTTTCTCACTTCGAGTTGGAGATTGTAGTCCAGAGAGATTGAATAATGGCGGAATTGATTTAAAAGTCAGCTTTCGAAGTTGTCTTCTGATCTACGAAAGCACGAATTTTTTCACCATTCGTAATTTCATGAATTTATACGGATTGTCGTTATTTATAGGGTACGTTAGTTTATACAGGGTGTCCGGTAACTAACGGGTCAATGATTAAGGGAGGATTCTCTGGCCAATTTGGAGACGATTTTTCCTTAGCAAAAAAGGTTGAGAAGTCAATAATTTTCGAGTTATAAGCGATTGAAAAAAATGGGTTTTTTGAAAACTAAACGTTTTGGAGTTAAAAGTCTAACATAATTACATTCTTCAGTTAATTTCAGGTAGAGTTTACTATAATAAAATTTTAATTTGAGGCTTATTTATAAAGATACATAATGACAAATATTGGAAAGTTGTAAAAAATGATGACCTTTTTCGACATTTTCGCTGAGGAAAAATCGTTCCCAAATTGACCAAAGAATTTTTCGAGTTATATACACATCTTAAAATTTTATTTAAAATGTCACCATATTGTTTGTCATTGTTAGAAATATTGTTAAAATTATTTAAAAACCAGCAATGACAATTTAAATTACATGGTTATTGATATAGGCTAGTTATTCTAAATTTGAATTTTAAATAAGAAAACAGAAAATTGTTGGACAGCTAAATTAAAAATATGAAAGCAGAGGTAGACTGAGACAAGTTACATTATCTAATTATTCAATTATTGTTTCATAGATTAATTAAAATTACAAACTTGTTTTTTTTATAAAATTTGTTTAAAATTCATCACTATCTTCATATGTATATATAACTACAAACATTTGGCAAATTTCTCCAGATCCATAAGTAACATTCTATATATAGATATAGATAAAATAGCGTCATAGAATAAGAATTTGAATCTACATAGTAAGTGGTTAACAGACTAGTTATTCTAAATCTAAATTTCAAATAAGGAAGCAAAATTTTTGAGCAACTGAATAAAATCAAAATACTCAATTAATCACATGTAAGGCTCTTATAATAAAAGTTAAACAGAAAAAAGGCAGTAAGAGCCACGTGTAAATAGATTTATTAAAATACTGTAAAACAAAATAAAACATGTAAAATGAATCTAAAACTATATAAAATATTATATATATACAATTAAATAAAAAATTGAAAAGCAAAGGTAAAAACTCTGACAAGAGTATATAGTATGATCTAATTCCCAGGTTTGACCTGCGTATAAACTTCTCGCGACTTCTGGAGTTTAATGTTACAAAACGAGCCTTTGTTTTCACGCCGACTACGAGTCGCTAATTAGCATACGTGGCCGCTAATAAAACCGTAAAAGAGAGAGTGACAGCGAGCTGTCAATCGGAAACCCAAAACAATGACGTCGCGACCGCGATGCCATTCACACGTTGCATTGCGCTACAAAAGGCTAATGCTATGTAAATATAGAGTCTCGCCTATTGAAGCGTCCATTTTTTCTCACGCCAAAGGATAGTCGAGGTGGCCTTGTACTTGGCATCCCGACCTTTTAGGAAAAAGAGATGATGTACGTCATCATCTCGCGTAGGTATACCGTTATGTACGCGTTGATGTCGGCCGATTCGTCAACGTTCCACGGGTCTCTTTGTCCCCTTTCGAGTTACCAAGGAGCAAAACAAGTCGCGAAATGAATTCACGAAATGAAGATCGTTTGAAGATCGCCCGACAAAAGGGAAACAGAGAGAGCCGGGCTTTTTTAGCGTCAACTATGTATCTCGACTCCCGCGAGAAAAGAGAGCGAGCAGCTAAATCGACTTCGAAATAGCTCGTATAAAGAGAAATACGTGCTCTATCAATTTCCATTCGCGCTCGTTTCGACGAGAGGTTACGACGCCGCTGAATTTTACGACGTCGCGCCTTGGTAGCTTAAACGTCGTTCTATTTTATCCATAAAACACCATTTTTGCGCACCCCATTCTTTTTATCGGTCCAATAGAATAATCAATTCTCCGCTTTTCCACAATTAAAGTACGTATAGAGACAAAGCGCGAACTTACTGATTTTATGTTGAGAACAATTGTTTTAAATTCAAAAATATAACATAATATATGTACAACATGTTTTTTAAAAATATTTTTATAAGCAGAGAATGCGGATATTTTAATGATAAGAGACGTTGATGGAAAAATTCGGAGAAACTCTATGAGAACTGCCGTTCACTGGTCTTTACGCGACGCGGATATCGCGCTTGCAAAATCGTATGAGAGAAAAAGATGAAGAAAAAAAACGATATGTAATTATGGAGACATGTTCACCAAGCATTCCCAAGCTGGCTAATACTTTCGTTCGCCGCGGCCTTTTATCCCCGACGTTGTTACACACGTGTTTAGATTTGCGGTATGCGACTTTGCACTCGCGTCTAATGGAGATTTTAATATGATTTCGATGTGGAGTGTTTACGAAGGGATTTCGAAGCAATATTAGTTATTGAAATGAAAGAAAGATATTCTTCTTTCGTTTTTAATTAATCGACATTTTTTTCTATTTAAAAATGCATTTATATAATTTCGATACAGTGTACAAGGGGATTTCGAAGCAATATTAATTACTATAATTATCGAAATAGAAGAAAAAAAATCTTGTGTACATTTTATTTTTATTTTAATTAATCAGCATTTTTTGCATTAAAAATGCATTTATATAATTTCGATGGAGTGTACGAAGGGATTTTCGGTATTAATTGCTATAAATAGTTATTAAAATAAAAGAAAAAGAATCAAACCTCGTATAAATTCTTTATTTTTATTTTAAATTGAGATTAACATTTTTTCTATTTAAAAATACAGTTAATATTAATAAAGTGTAATGCTGGAAAACATGAAGAGGCATTTACTTGATCTTGTGTACATTTCATTTTTATTTTAATTAATCAGCATCTTTTGCATTAAAAATGCATTTATATAATTTGAATAGAGTGGTACAAAAAAATTTTCAGAGCAATATTAATTACTTAGTTATTAAAATAAAAGAAAAAGAATCAAACTTTGCATAAATTCTTTATTTTTATTTTAAATTGAGATTAACATTTTTTCTATTTAAAAATACAGTTAATATTAATAAAGTGTAATGCTGGAAAACATGAAGAGGCATTTACTCGATACACTTACTTATAGTACTACATAGTAAACGAACGATAATATTAAACAATGTACACAATATCATTATGCATATTTTGACAGCAAACATTGCTCTCTTCTTTTATCAATGAATAATCACATCGTATATCGTTATCCTTTATTGTAGGCGTTATTATATGAGGCGTTACTACCATCAATGTGTCCGAAAGAATGAAAGGCTGTAGGGAAACATTTTTAATCGATTACTCGTCGGTCGGGCAGCATTACTCGAGAAATTCCATCTGATATCCACGATGAATCGATCGATAGATCAATATTCACCTCTTGAATTTGCACGCGAATGTAATTTGACGAGAAAATTAACATTATAAGTTCTTTGTCTCTCATGTAAAATTTATTTTTGCTACCTCAAATTTGCATTAGGAATGTTTGAAAAATTAATGAATTCGAGATAAAATTATCTACGTACATTTTAACTTGATTTATCTTTAAAATATATTTAGGATTATTGTCATCACACAATGAGATTCACACTTATATTTTAAATATTAATAGATATTTATATATAATAACATTTAAAACATATAATATTTACGTTAAATATATCTATATAAAATCACATTTGTGACAATAACAAATTTTGAAATATTTTAAAAATAAATCAAGCAAAAATGCATATGGATAATTTCATCTTAAATATATTTTCTATAACGTAAACTATTTACTACTTAATAAAAAAATTGAAACAAACGAGCTTTTTACATTTAATAAATGTTGCGTTTAAAGAATCCACCGAACGAATAAAAAAATAAAAATCCAGATTTAGCTTGGCTGCAAAAAGTCTTTCCGAACATTTAGAGCGGCCTGCGTCGCCTGATAAAAACAAAACGATAGCCTCGCTGAACTAAATCGAAAGCCAATCGCTGTAAGTGGCCGCGTGTTTCTCTCTCTCTTTCTCTCCGTATCTAAAACCATTTCCATTACTCAATGCACATAAAAATGGTCGGGTTAAACGGGCCGGAAAAGAGGGCCATTCAGATACTCCTCATATATCGGCGATACTACTACTCATCCAGCGACGAACAATCGCGCCGCTTATTCTATCCAACTGGAGCAAATTCCGGAATCCGTGAACTAGAACCGCTCGCTCGCTCTGGCTCCGGCGAGACGTACGTAAGGTTGAATCGATTTGCCGGTGTAAAACCGGCTGGGCGTCGGCGGCTGCTGGCTGCTGCTAGAGAGAGGAAAGGGAGAAGAAGAAGAGGAAAAAAAAAGGGAAACGCGCGCCGAAGGACAGCGGGAGACGAGCGGCGGGGATGTCGAAGGGACCAGATAAGGTTGAAGCGAGACGGAGAAGGTGGAAAGGAAAGAAAGAGAGAGAGAGAGAACCGAGACTCGATCTCTCCGACTGCCTCTGGCTGGACGGACCACAATGTTCCCTCTTCATTCCTTCCTCTTGCCCAGCAAAGACCGATCTCCTTCGTCAGTGCCGGCGTGGCGCGGGTTTCCTACAGGTGCGTTTACAACCTGCCTCACAGTTTTTTTCCATCTGCCTACCTGACAGAAGCGACCAACTCGGTGACGGAAGCGAGTCGGTCCTGCTAATTCTCTACCGTGCGCGAAAAAAAAACCTGGCTACCTGATTGTCGGGTGGGGATGAATTCCTACTGGGAATCCAACTTCGGGGTTCTAGGGACGCGAGTAAAACATTGGTGAAACGAGTACAAAAGATCCCTGATGCGACGCATCAGTCTCTTCGTTCCTAGCTTTCAAGTTTCCAACTACCGGAACTAGCTCTCCGGTAGTGAGGTATCTCGCAGGCGAATCTACCATCGTCAGGCCTGAAACATCGAATACGCGCAAGGTGAAGGAAATTCCGTACGGTAGCTGGGCAGTAGAGCGAGATACCAGGTCCTCGGAAGGCGAAAGGAAGAAGAGAGACAGAGAGGAAGAAGAAGATGGAAGGAGAAGGTGCCCGGATTCACATTTACGCACCTGCTCCTCATACCACGTCCCTACCCTAAAACCTCCTGCCTGTTCAACCTGCCTGCCTCGCTTCATAGTCCCACTCGGGGATAGGAATACCGGCAAGCCTCCGCCTTCGCCCCCGGACCAGCTGTCTCGCTCTGACAGCCGCGTACCGACCAGGCATCCGTCTCCGTCTCGCCTAAAGGCGAGGGAGAGAAGGAGGAAGGAGTTCTAGAGCCGAGGCACAGAGGAGAGTCTCGCGGCCGCAGCATCCAACAGCTACTAGCGCTACTAGCGGCAGCCAAACGGAAAGACTCCCAGGCGAGTCGGAGCCTGGCGAGCGTGTGTGCGCCCTGTGTGTGTCCCGTGCGTGTGAACCTCAGCTGCGTGGGTGTGCGAAGCCGCGGCGAAGCCTACCTGGCGGCGTCCGACACGCAGTTCTCTCTCGCGGGAAAGAGCGTCGCGCGCGAGCGAGAGCCTTCTACCTTCGATCAGCCAGCTTCTAGAGAATCGACTTTGGACAGAGGCGAGGAAAAGTTCGCCGGGACTCTCCGGTTGAGATCCTAAAGTGTTCGGGGAGATCGAAAAGTGCGACGGCGAGATATCTGTGCGTGTGTGTTTACGAGAGGTATATAGATAGCGGGAAAGTGGATACCCCAGATTGTTGTTAGGGATCTCGGATGCTACCGCGAGCCATCGGATCGCCGACCAAAAAGGGATTTCGGACGGAGGAGGAGATGCGTCGGTGGTTCGCCGGAGGTGACTGAAAGGAAGACCCTGGCTTCCCCATCAACGTCCTCCAGGTGAGAGTGCGAGAGAGATAGACGCGGGCTGACTCTGGGATGGAATCTAGGAGTTTCCGCTTGAAGGGTTTCCGGAGGAAGTGAGCGGGACAATCCTACGTGCCTTGTTGCGTCCCTACATTCGCGATTCCAACATGGCTGCTGGGACTAGCCGTGACCGCTGGGTCCGCGGAAGCCATGTTGGCAGGTGTGCTCGGCTCGGAGAGATAACCAGTTCATGTTCGTGAAACGCAGCCACCGAGTCGGGTCGCGAGATTGGAACGCCCGCGATTACGATTCAATTATCATTTAGATTACCACATTGTCCTCGAAGAGAACCCGAGTAATGTACGCGTCAGCCTAAATGCATCGCGTAAATTGGGTACGCGCAATGTGATTGATAGGAGACCTCCTTGTGTGAACGCGTTTGTCCATATACACGTATTTCCTACTGCTACGCGATTGCGAAAGTTTGCGGTGAGCGAGCTGGCACGCAGTGGTTCTCTGTTAAACCAAACCTCTGTCAAATCCACGATCAGGATTTTCTGCTTTTTTTTCTCAAACGAACGTAAAGTTGCCGTGTATAAATTATTTATTTGTACTCCAAAAAGCCGTGACTTTATTGTGAGGAAATTAATTGTTGCTCCAAAAAATTTTATATATATAAATGTTAAGTGTTTTCTTTTTGTAACAATGTTTACTCGGTGGGTGCCACATTGAATCTAAATTTTGGAATTTTCCTTTTTGGATCTCAAATTTGCAAAAAAAAAAAATCTGAGTGATTTAAGAGAGGTCAAAAAATTCTTCAAAAGAGCCGAGATATTACACCTGACATTTCAAAATCAGAGTATAATTTTTTGTTGCAAGTTATATATTTTTTTAAACATTGTTTCCTAAGGCTAACAAGGCTAAAGCTTTTTATGAATTGAGAAAAAAGATTCAATAATTTTCAGAAAGTCAAATATCTATTGTACGCAATATATATTTTAGCTGCTTAGTCTTTATCCTTTTATATGAATTGAAACTCGGTATGGATGTGTGTATTAGTCTATTGTGTATACAAAATAAGATTTATGTAAAGGATATTTATAACAGCCCAAGAATCTGTCAAAACAAATGGTTTAGAATTCCATAAATATTTCCTACATATTGAACGTATGTACAATTTTGATTGTTATTTTTCTTGATATTGGCAATACCAAAATTATTATGTTACAAGAAAAATATGTGTGTAAAAAACTTGGATTTTAAAAATCTTCAATTTTTTGTTAAGCCATAAATAAATTCATCTTTATATATTTTTCAAATAATTATCTTTTTCGAACAAAACTTTCGCAAAAATATATATATATATATATATTAAAGCAATTTTCAATATATATTAAATAAATTTTTAAAAATTGTTTAATGGCAGTAAATGCTTAAAACTGAATATCTCAAGGAACATTTATTTTGCAAAGATGATGAATAAAGCTTGTTTCTTCAGCGAGATTAGCGCATACGTTGATCTTTCAGCAATCGACATGCCAACCTGCCGACATGCCGACATGCCGACCGACATTGTAGTTACGTCGGCCTCGGCCACGGTCTCGGAGGAGACGAGCAGAGGTCGGGAACTGGGTCTCGGACCCTCTCCGAGGCCGGGTCCCTCTTCCGCGGCCTCGTCGTCCTCCAGCTCCGGCGCGGCGTCGAGCTCGAGGGGCTTCGACCCAGCCGGCACCCTCGCCGCTTATCATCATCATCGTCACAGCCTGGTGAGCAGCCTCGGCCATGCGCACCGGGAGTCGTCCGCCTTCGTGCCTGTGGTGCCTTCAAGGTTGCACCTCACCCCGTATCCAGGTGAAATGCATCCCCATCTACCTGCGCCGCCGCCCACGTCCTCGTCGTCAGCGAATTCGGAGCACGAAGTCGGCCCCGAGTCCTCGGTGGCCAGGAAGAGCTCCTCGAGCTACGAGATCATGGCCATGATGGCCGATAAGAGGAAGGAGTTGGCGGCTAGAGCTCTCCTGTTACCTCCGCCACCTTTATTGGAGCCCCCACCCGGGTATCCGGTCTTCGCCGGTCCTTTTGCCGGCAGTTCCGCTCTGTATCCCCCGGGTGGTCCACTGGCTCATCAGCATCTCGACCGGAGGCTACTCCGAGCGCCCGGTAGAGCGTCCAGACCGAAGAAGCAATTTATTTGTAAATTCTGTAATCGGCAGTTCACCAAGTCCTATAACCTTCTCATCCACGAGAGAACCCACACCGACGAGAGGCCGTATTCCTGCGACATTTGCGGCAAGGCTTTCAGGAGACAGGATCATCTCCGAGATCACAGGTAGAGGATGCACGGTTTTTTGTTGTTCAGGGGACCTTAAATGCCGTCAAAGCATCACTTTTGCGCACTCTTTTCTTTTTGTTGGCTCAATATGCTTTTCTACAAACAAACAATTTTTTTAGTTTTAATTTTTTAATTAAAAAAATTCTTGTTTTTAACATAAAATCGGTAAACCTGAAAAAGCATTTATTATTCTATTCATAACCAATAAAAAGAAAAGGGTGTGCAAAAATGATGTTTTATCGATAAAACAGGACGGGTTTAAAACCCTTTTAAAATATTTGTAATATTGAATTTATGATTTTTTCATCAAATCTGTGATCTCTACAAATATTTAAAAACCCAAAGTTAAAAAAAATCGACTATGCCCTCAGGTACATCCACAGTAAGGAGAAGCCCTTCAAATGCAACGAATGCGGCAAGGGTTTCTGCCAGAGTCGCACCCTGGCCGTCCACAAGATCCTGCATATGGAGGAATCCCCGCACAAATGCCCGGTCTGTGCGCGCAGCTTCAATCAGCGCAGCAACCTGAAGACCCACCTTCTAACCCACACGGATCACAAGCCTTACGAGTGCACGTCCTGCGGCAAGGTGTTTCGCAGAAACTGCGACCTCCGAAGACACGCGTTGACCCACGCGGTGGGTGACGTACCACCCGAGGCGTTAGAGGAAGCGCTCAGAGACGACGACAGTCCAGAAGAGGACTGTCCGGAACCCGGACCATCATCCTCCTCCTCCATCACGTCCTCGGCATCCTCCTCGGCACCCTCAGCGTCCACCAGCTCGTCCGGATATGCCTCCCAAGGTCCACCCACAACGTCAACCGGCTCCTCGGCACCAGCTACCGTTCCGTCTCTGCCCCAGAGACCCCAGCTTCAGATTAGAAGAGACCTGCTGCCGACGGCGAAGCCGTCGACGGTCACCAGCGGTGCGTCAGTCACCCAGAACCCACCAGCCGCCCTTCCGCCGCCACCTCCGCTGGTTCTGACCTCCTACCGACGTAGGATCAGTTCCCCAGGTCCTTCCCGAGTGCTGCTGGAGCTTCAGGAACGCGAGCGGGAACGCGAGCTGGAGCAGAGCAGGGAGAGAGAACGCAACAGGGAACGCGACAAGGAAGTGGCCAGACCTCCTAGAGCGCCAACACCGCAGCCAGCCCCACCACCTCCCAGACCAGCTCCGGCTCGTCAGGGTTTCACCATTGCGGACATAATGGGCCGATAGAGAGTGCGTTCTTTCGTTGTCGCAGGTAGTCTTGCCCTTTTTTCATTGTTATGTACCGTTTGCGACCCAGGAATTTTGTAGGTACCGTGAGGGGATTATGCGAAGCTTAATAGGGATGAACATTCTGCGAGGCTCGAGATACTCTTGGAAGAGACGTAGAAAAATGCGCATTCAGGCAGCTGGTCGAGGCTCTCTGAAAGTCCTGCGTATTTTATACTGCCGTATATATTTTTTCAAGCAAGGAGAGGAAAATGCATGCCTAATTCTAAGATAGTTCTGTTAGACTCGAAATACATTCGGTCCTCTCTCGTTTCAAGTACGGAGGAATAGTTTCCCATGGAAAAGACAATTAAGCAAACGCATACAAAACAAGCGTGCCTTACTCGAGATCGCCTATGCGCGAAGATTTCGGAGAGATCGTCCTTCTAAAAAAAAAAAAAAAGAGAGAAAAAAAAGAAAAAAACCAGGGACCACTACCGTAGACAGCACTTCTAGACTCCACATAAGAAAGCGCGCGCGTACAAAGAAGGAAAGAAAAAAAATCAACAAATAAATGGTGCCTTAGAGCGGTTCCAGAGATTTTCTCCTTCTCGTCCAATGGAAGACGAAAACGACTGGACCAAAACCGGAAAGGTGGCATCCATCCTCTCTCTGGGCCTCAAACACAAACTCCGTTCGTCTCTCGAGCTAAACTACACTTCGTCTTCCAGCATTCGCCGATATTGCGTTGCAACGTAGGAGCAAAAGAGGAGTCCATCATATGGTCCAGGATTATGGAACACTTCTTTTGTCCCGGAAAGGGGCGGGAGAGGGAAGAAAAGGGGGGCGATAATGCAAATTTTGCGGTCGGGGTAACAACCGGTGGTGCCACCGTGGCAGGTGCAATACGGCGCTTTTGTACCTGCCTGCCTCTGTGTCTGTCTCTTTCTCGCGCGCGTGCGCGCGCGCGCGCGAAATATATACCTGCTCCACGCTACTGTACGTGCGTATATATGTTCCGCATACGCGTGTGCGTGCGCTCCCGCTTTTTTCCCTTCTAAAATATTTCGCCGACCCTAGACTGCGAATGGCACCAATATTTTTTTTTTTTTTTTTTCACCCATCTTTTCCCCTTTGTTCCGCCCCCGCGGGAGGAAGAAGCATTAATGGTCCTTTTGTCGGGACCCCAAAGTGTACACCGTCTGACCACAGAAAACGAGAGAGAGAGAGAGAGAGAGGGGCGATCCTTTTAGCCTATGCGCCGACACAAAGGTATACTTTCCTTTAGGTTCGAGATTCTTTTGAGTCTCAAAACCGTGTATAAGAGTGACCGTTAATCGAGAGAGAGAGAGAGAGATTATCATTTTTGAAACGACCATTGTGATTAAATTAAATTTCAATGTGCTCGAATATTCGAACAATTTGTCTGATTAATATGCGTTGTGTATTAAAGGGGTTGCAATAAGAAATGTAATTTAGTTAGCTGCAAAATTTAGACACATTTTATGTGCTTGGAATAGGCTACTTCTTATAACTACGTGAGACAAATATCAATATTTTGTCGTTTATTATATAATATTTCACAAACATTGAAAATTTATTATATAATGACAGTTTAAAAATATGAACAGCTATTTTTATTGATTTTGATGAAATTTAATATTTTATTTTGGACAAATGAACGATTAAATTAAATTAAATTAAGTCTTTATATAATCGTTATATATATGTCTACACAATTTAGCGTTATAATGTAACAAAATTTAATTTGTTAAATTTTAGAGATAATTTCTTTTCCAAATTGTTTGAGAAAAATTTAAAGATTTTCCTCAAGTTATTTAAAATGAAATGTGTTAAGAATCTCGTGATTTTGATAAATATTTGACATGTAATTATCAATGAGAGCTGAGTAAATTCAACGAAATTAATAAAAAAAAACTCCTTTTATAAATTCGATTTCTAATTAAAAAAGAAATATAAAAAGAAATTCGAGACACATAAAGATTTACTGTAATAATAAGAAAATAAAGATGAATGAAAAGAATGAATCTCATTGTAAAAAAACTAAACGGCGGAGAGTTACAATGTTAAAATGATCAAAGTAATTTTATGATCTGACACACACAGATCTATCGCTACTACTACTATTATTACAACGTTGCATAATTATATGTATATGTGAATATGTTGCAACATCTTTAAGCTAGGCGCATCATCATACTATCGACTTTTCGTCGATTAATAGTTTAGTCGATCAGTAAAAAGTTTATTACGAATTATTATAAGATCGACTTTATATTAATTCGACTAAAAAGAAAAAAAAACAGGTTTTTTGACAAAAATGTCTCGACTGATTATCAATCAACCGTCCATTTTGCAAATTTAAATTTTGTAAATTAATAATTTATATAAATTAAATTATTTATATAATAGTTAAATTATATAATATTAAAATATAAATTATATTTAATATTATATAATTACAGTTTAGCCGATGTAAAGTCGATAATATGCGCCTTTAGAATGTCCAAAATGAAAAAAAGAAAATGAAGCTGAATTGAAAGATAAACATTATAAATTGTGTTCCTGTATGTACTCGTTTGGCATCACATAAGGTTAATTATGCGTCTGTCTTTAATTAGCTGTTACATTTACTTGATTGCGCATTATTCATGAATTTATTTGTGTCTAAAAAAGTATATTTAATTGTATGAAAGAGTTATATAATCGAAAATTGTTACTATCAGATTAGCAACAATACAGGATATTAAAAATTATATTATGCGATCAGGCGTTATCATTTAAGCAGGAGAAAGGAATGAAAAATGTATTAATTTATCGAAAGAATGATATGCGTAATATTTCCAACGCATTCGGATAGTCGAGTACATGAGACTATTACGTATTGTTTTGTACTTGTAATATGTATATTATGTAATTATTATTTTAAGTCTACATTAGATGAAAATTGTCAAAATATGTATGAGATATAGATTTCGGACATTTAATATTAATTAGAATTGCGAATTAGAAAATAATAATTAACAACGAATTTTGTATCTCGACGTGGCTTTACGATGATAATTATTATTGTACGTACAAAAATTTTATACGTGTATAAAAGCTCAGTGAAATGATAATATGTGCATTTTTAAAGTCTATTCAGGTTGTTTAGAATGTGGTAACGTTATATAGCGACTTATTATCGTCGTAAGACAGGAATGTATTTTTTTTGTACGTGTATGCGAGAGAGAAAGAAGTTTTTTTATATATGCGAGAAAACGTGATAGAGATAGAGAGAAAAGAAGAAATGTGACAGCGAGAGAAAAGGAAATAAAGAAAAATAATGAAGACACAAGAAGACGCAAGAGGATGAAAGAAGAAACACTTGAGTCACATCAGAGACTCAATGTATAGCGATATACATATACTATGTACAATATATTACGTACAACGAAAGCCACCTGCAACAATTAAGTTGCAGATGTGCGAACAATCAATCTCCTGTTATTTTCCACTTGATTAGTTTATCTTCCTTGTGCATAAGTGCCTATATATTTTTAGATTTATATACGAGAGTTAAGCGCAACTTTGTAAATTATATATTAAGAAAGATGAAATAAAAGAAAGTTTCTCTCGAAAACGCGATGTTAAATATTATTCATATTGAGAATATTTTAAAATTATATTAAGCCATTACAAAAGTACAGTTATACAAAAAAAAGCAATATTTGTATTATACATCTAAACAAATGCGTTTATTAAAATTGCCATTGACAAATCTCTTTCTAATTCGAATAAATTTTATACAAGTTATATTTTTGTGTCGAGTTTCTAGAAAATAAATTTTATATAATATAACTTAATAAATTGCATAAAACTTTTATGATTAACTGAAATTTATTAAAATAACTAAGAAGTAAAATATATAAGGCTCTGATCAAATAAACTGATAAAAATTATTGGATTTTTATTGTGAAATTTATTATATACTAATTTGCTAAATTCATTATCATATAAATTTATTATATTGTATATTGTATGAAATTTATTATTTATCACATTTATTATAAAGAAATAGTCGCAGTTTTACTACTAATTTTTAAAATTAACTTGGTTTAACAATAATTCATGCACATATTGCAACATAAAAACTGAAATATCGACCGAAGCACGACTGGAATCCTTCCTTCATCTCTGAAGGGATGCTGCTAGAGATATGTAGCCGGCAGGAGCTAACTTATCTGCTCATACTAAGTCAGTAATTTCAAATTATAACATAAATTTTTCAAAATAATAACTATATATATGGATTAATAATTGTACATAATAAATCAAAGACAAATTATATTTTTAATTTATCAAATACAACGATTATGTTGTATTTACCAGTTGCTAGTTTTTCCATTTTGTCTTCTGATACTCTTGTCAGATAGCGCGGACAGCTTCTCTAGAAGCACGTGGTAAAAATATAAGAATAAAAAAAGCGAAGGAATAGCCTTGTACGGTTTATGTTAGATATAAAAGTCTAAGGAGAAAAAAATACGCGCGCGCGTGAAGTTTAGAAGATAAAATATTCGTAGTTCTAAAGAAAGGCGAAAAAAAAATCGATCCCAGTTCTGAAGTAAACTTTAAGCGTATCCTTAAGCAACTTAAAGCATATTGACAATGTCCATATCCAATGTACGATATCTCTTAATCCTTTGTTAAGAGAAAAAAATTCTGTTTGACGGGAACTATCCTTGCACTATGGTTCAAACATGTAAATGAACAAGCAAAGATAAGATAATTCCGCCATGTGTCTTTCAACTTTGCGGACTGCGATTTTTGTCTTTTCCCTTTGCACAAGAATATGAGAGAGTTTGTATATTTCACATAGGAGAAAATATTATCAACACGGAAATGTATATAATTTCCATTGTCTCATTGATATAATACAATTTATTATGTAGATATCTCTATTTTATATCTCTTTCTCCTACATATTTATATTCTTCTAATTTTCTTTTTTAGCCAGAGCAGTATATTTAAACAATTTTAATTTGTTTTAAAAATATATTTTTGAAAAGATTATAAAGTAAAAATTTTATGAAATATGAAAGACCATCATTAATCTAATTAAAACAATTTTTAGATTCGTTTAAATAATAGTAAAACATTCGTGAAACAATGTAGTGTTCACGAAATAGGAAATTAAAAGATTATTATATTCTATTTATTTTTATAATGTAGTAATTCTTTTATTACAACACTGTACAAATTTAATTAAGAATTTAATTTAAATAGAGATCTATAGAGTTTTTTCGTTGTCTATCTATTCATTTCGAATTTCTGAATAAGAATGAGAATTCTAGATTTTAAGTGTATAAATATGAGTATAAAAGAAATAGAATAAGTATAAAAATTTTTGATAGCTTGTTCTTTTTATTTGTGTCTTTTGTTTAATTACTGTTGCCTTTTAAATTAGTCAAATTCGCATTCGAGTTCAAGAAACACAATTTGAGCACTCGTTATAATGTAATAATTGTAATAATAATTCATGCATTAGATTGCTATTTTTCAATTATAATTGTTAATTTATATATATTTTACTTTTTTTAATTATAACTATGTATTAAATCTATTATTTATCACATTAATAAACCTTGATCTTTTATAATTGAAATAGAACATATGTTCATGTATGATTTTTTACTAAAACTGACATTTCGAATAAGCTGTCACACACTGAAAAAAAATAGTTAATTTTTTTTCTATTTCAATTATAAATTGAAAATTACATATGTTCTATTTCAATTATAAAAGATCAAGGTTTATTAATGTGATAAATAATAAATTTAATACATAGTTATAATTAAAAAAAGTAAAATAAATTAACAATTATAATTAAAAAATAACAATCTAATGCATGAATCACACTGAAAAAAAATAGTTAATTTTTTTTCTATTTCAATTATAAAAGATCAAGGTTTATTAATGTGATAAATAATAAATTTAATACATAGTTATAATTAAAAAAAGTAAAATAAATTAACAATTATAATTAAAAAATAACAATCTAATGCATAAATCACACTGAAAAAAAATAGTTAATTTTTTTTCAGTGCACTCGTAGATCACCTTGTAAAATTCGAGGCGAGTTTCCGAGCGAACTTCCGTTTTAGTCGCGAAACGAGTGCGATTATTGGGCGAATTATCTGCGTGACAGTTTGTTTGCGCATAAAGCGCGCAAAATGCGTCAGCTGACAGCGCGCTCGTACATACACATTTTACGAGCCGCGCTCGCAGACGGCTTTATGGGGGACAGTAGGGAGGTAAAGGTGAGGTAAAAATCGACAAACAATCTATCCCGTCCGTGCACGTCGGGCGCGGCCCGTCGT